TGCCTGGTGCGCGTCCTCTACTCAGTTAGATCAGGATTCTGGAAAGAGATATGTGACTCGTGGTGGTTCTTCCTCTCTGAGCATAGCACCGGAAAGTTGAAGCTTGAGACATGGATAGAAGCTAGAATTCAAAAAGTGTTTATAACTCTGGGAAAGGACAGGGTTCTAATTAGGTAGCTAAAGTAAAGATGGCTGTGTGGAAGAGATAAGTGCTCTCATTCAAGAAAATGGTTGTGGTTACCTTATCACCCTCAAAGTCTCCACAGTCCACAGTAAGTCGATAATGAAATTGTTGGGGATTTGATATTGGATACTTTTTGCATATCGAAAACGCTAAAATGTTGAATGGGCTTGTTATTGGTTCACTTGGTTGTTGATAATTCCACGTTATTCGATTCACCTCCACCTCTCTTCTCGTCCCAGTGCACCCAACAAGATGTATTTTCCTTCAACTTTTGCGTCAGCGTCTACTTATCGACCACTTACCCCCATGACCAATCACTCTAGGTGATTGATAATATTAGCTCTGACTTGTAACAACCCTAATGTAATTCACTCGACTTCAATAATTGATATTAGATCGAAGTTATCAAATAGTCCGGACTGCAGTTCAACAACCAAGAGCTTTGAAACCTTCAATCCCTTCAGATATTGATACTTTTCTGATAACTTGATAGCTGGAATGGGACGGAAAGAGGGAAAACAAGTCTACTTCGTGGCAATAACAACACTGGCCACGAAGTTTAGTTGTGCTCTTCCCCCGACCAGCTGCTTGAAGCCATCTATTTTCCTCAAGACCTCCTCGACGATTTCGATCGCCTCGTTCCAATCATCCTCATCTGGCTTGATCCAGCAAGCTTCTGTTGTGCCTCCAATAAAGCGCTAAAGCACTGTATCAGGCAGAGCCTATGAGTTCAGTAGTTGTGCACATGACATTTTTTTGCATAAAGTATTCTTTTCCTTCTCTTTTCCCACCACATTGCATGCAAAGTCTGCTCTTGGCCTTGCCATTTGCAGTGAATAACTAGCATCTTATTGATCAATGTCTTCAGTAGATCTGTATGTAATCATGCATCACCGGGGTCAACATATTTTGTAGCATGTTTTCGATGTTATACGGTTGGGTGAGTCCATGCGCTTAACTGTTCAACGCAGAGAGTTCATGTATAGCGATTATTATGGGTAGCCCTGCTGCTGTCAGTCTAAGACGCCCAAGTACCATATCGAAACTATTATGTCGAGCTACTGGCCAAGAGCCATCGATGTCTTGAGCTTGGAATCTTGTTTAGGTGATGAAGACGAGAGAAACTTGCTCGAGTCAATATCAGTATCCATAGAGGCAAGAAAAGGGTCTGATAAAACAAAAGCCATGATGGTAATCTCTCATCGGAAAATCCCATGTGCAGTTCTAGATTCTAGGATCCCCTTTGTGTGAACTATAGATCGTATTCTATTCACAAAATATCGCAAAGAGCACCTAGGCCCAATTGTAAAGGAAAACTACACTCGGAACGAGAATAATGACCGAAGACTCTTATGATACATAACACCTCTGTAAAGATCAACGCATTAAGCGCAAAAAGTTTCAGGCATCAAGAGAAATAGCCAATCCAATCACTGTAGCATTTTGAAAATCAAAGGTGTTCGTTAATTCACATGTATTACCCGGAAAATGGTATTTCCGATCCGATGGCGGGTTCCATGCGGATTCAATTAGATAACTATCTTATTGTGGGCCGCTTTGTCTTTTTGATTTATAAGATTGGAGTAACGTGGTTTATCAGTGCGTGGCCCATATCAGTGGATGGCCCACTTTCATTTTAATTTGATTCCCTTATTTCAACATGTATTTTATCAATAATTCATAATAGATTCGAATAATAAAGAAGTCTGTATATTACTCGCTATTGCAGTTATTCAAAAAGATAAGAAGCTAAGTATTCGAAAGGTTGTAATACTATACAATATCCTACAATCAATATTACGATATAGAATTGACAATATATTTTCTTATATAGAATTCAATCTAAATCTCAAAATCTCTTGGAACTAGAAGAGGAAATTATTATTCAGTATATAATTGATATGGATTCGAGAGGTTTTGTATTTAAACAAAAGGGAGTGAAAGATATAGCGAATTATATTCTTGAATCTCGAGGTGCAAAAAGAGTTGGAAAGCTTTGAGCTTATCGATTTATCAAACGTTATATAGAGCTAAAGATGTATTTAAATGTGTTTATGATTTTCAAAAAGCTTTTTGTAAAGATTTTATACTTATTGAAAACTGGTTCCGACTTATATTGAATATATAAGCGAAATAATAATATTCTCGATTACGATTTATAGAACTTCGATGAAATAGGTTTTATAATGGGAATGATAAGTATTGGTATAGTTGTTATTGATACTGAGAGATACGGCAGAAGTAAGTTATACAACTAGGTAATCGAGAATGGGCTACAGCGATTATATATGTGACGGAAACGGTGTTGTAGACCACGTGGATCAGATCATGTGATGGTCAGGTATTCATTATATAGAATACTCCGGAGCGGAACAACGATAACCGGATCGGCCGCAGGACCGATCACCGCTCCCGTGATCGGTACCCGAAGATCACCCAGTATATAATCCGATCTCTTCTCTACGAGAAGAGATCAGTTCTAACTGTAGATGAGGAGATATACACATTCTTATACTTATACCATTATTGTCCAATCATTCCCCTCCATCGTGATATGCTATTGTCCTGTACGATAATATAGCAATAGTAAAGGGGATACTATACTTCCATTTCTGATAGTTCAAGGACAGGTGTATCTTTCCAATTGGTATACAGAAACCGATCTTTCTGTAGATTGGGTTATTAAACCTATAAGCAATGGGTGAACGAATAATGAGATAGGATTAGAATGGTTGAAATACTTCGATAAACATACAAGAAATCGAATTAAGGGCAAATACAGAATGCTAGTGTTGGATGGGTATGAAAGCTATGAATCAATATCATTCCAGAACTATTGTAAGGAGAATAATATTAAATATATGTGTTTACTATTATATTCAAGTCATTTAACTTAGTCCTCTTGATATTGAGATACTTAGTATCTTAAAACGAGAGTATGGTATACAAATTGAGGGTTTATAAGGATATATATCAATTATATCTTAAAGGTTGAATTCTTTATAGCTTTCAAAACTGCATATCAATAATCAATTACAAATCAGAATATAAAATCAGAGTTTCGAGAAACAGGATTAGTCCATTCGATTCTGAAGTAGTACTTTCTAAGTTTAGCTATTCGAATCCATACACCTACTCCTCCTCCTCCCAATTCAAAATCTTGAACCTCTTAAACACCTCACAATCCCTATAGAAATACTCTTTCAATCAATACTAATTAAATCTCAAATAATTTATTATCAATCAAGCTCTCCTATACCTTTATTTAAAACTATATTAGCTTAACTAAGGGTAATAAAGAGATTAGCATATAAGAATATACTTTTAAATACAAAAATTCATACACTTCGAAAGGCAAATAAAATATTAAGTAAATATCGATACACAAAAAAAACCCAATTACATTAAGGAGGAATACTTACTAAACAGGAAACTACAGATATATTATCTCAACAAAAGATTGATATCCAAATTCGACACGACAGGCATCAAAAATGAAGGAAATTCCAATATGGAGACATCCTCTAGTCGATGTTGTAGCAAGTATGGAAAGACAGGTCATAATACAAGAACCTATAAAAATGATATAATAGATCCTAGATTATTAGATTTATAATAACTTTAATCAATTGATTCAAAGATTATTAAGAAATATAAATTTGAAAGTGTAAATTGAGGTGAAAGTGGGCCATCCACTGATATGGGGCCACGCACTGATAAACCACGTTATATATTTTAGTTATTTGAAATTGTATATATAGTGTAATTATTTTTATATTTTTGTATTTCTATCTTGTATATTATGAAGTTGGACTTTTTTGAGATCATTAAGCGTTTTGCCTCTAAACGCCTTCTTACCAAACTATATGCCAATTGCCTCTCCATCACATTTCATCATAGTTTTGTCACCTGACCAGGCCGTGGTTCAGGCGGAGTCGTGGCTCGACAAGAAGGTCATTGAACCAATCCCAAATCCACCCCTCTTGGGTTTAGTTTTCGCAACTGAAAAATTCAAGTTAATTCTCCACCAATCAAACACACCCGTGAGAGTGTGGTCAGACCACAACGCATTGGTTACGCGTAAAGCTGAACACTTAGTAGTGTTGTTGAATCCCTTCATTTCCATCATCACCTCTATCTCCCTCCCTCTCTTCATTTCCATCGCACGATAATACCATCTTTCTGTCGCCATCTTTTTGTCGCTTTATCTCCATCGCAAAACATTTGTTACGAATACACGACCACTATCATCGTATCATTACTCACATCGCTTTACTCTCCATCGCACAATATCTATTGCGAACATACGACCAACATCTTCCTATCATTACCCTCAAATCGCTTTACCTCTATCATATAACATCTATTACAACTATACAAGCACAACTTCCAGTCAAATTGCTCCTATATTGCGTTGTGTACAAGAGTCTTTACAGCCTCTGCTGCTTAGAACAACCCTGGCGGCGGTTACGTTCTTATAGCACCTACTGTTTAGAACAACTCTGGCGGCGGTTACGTCCTTGCAGCATTTGCTGTTTAGAACAACCCTGGCGGCGGTTACGTCCTTACAGCCTCTGCTATTTAGAACAACCCTGGCGGCGGTTATGTCCTTACAGTACATACTGTTTAGAAGAACTTCAACACAATTCATATAGTAGCTTTTCTTGATCACTTTTACATCTCATTTTATTCGAAGAGTCAAGGCTGCTCTATAGCCTGGGTGGGTGGGAAGCACACAGAGTGTGGGCTAGCATTTTTTCAAATGCAAGTATTCTTTAACTACGTTTTATTGCTAATTATAATCATAGGACTCAATATGTCGATATCGGTTCCGATCGAAAAACTTCAGCTAGAAAAACTTCTTGATGAGAGGGTATTCGTGAAATGGGTTAATGAATCAGGCACAACATTGACACTAGGTTCTTGCTTGCATGACAACAAGCAGACACCTGGTTTCTTTATGACTGTATATCGTGATATAGAAGGACGGATTCATATTCATTTCAAGCTTCAGGTGTTTATTAAGCTTGCTGGCAAGAAACAACAGATAGATTTATTATTAGTTGTTCCTCCAGATGCCGATTTTGCGAATGCCTCGGCACCTTATCCAATATCGAGTATTGATTTATCTCACGACGTTTCTGCTATTCACGAAGCCGGGTTAAGCAATGCACAGCATGTTTTCCTTCTACAATTCAACCTCACCACGAAGGGATTCGTCGTTACAAAGAAGAAAACTACTACAATCAGACCTCACACCACGACTACAAACATGTTGATTCGTAGCCTTGAGTCTCTGTCTAATACCACAACTTTCAGTGTATACATCAGGCCAAGTACTTATGCGAAAGTACACCTGGAAAAACTCCGTATGCATGTTAGTGAAACTGCAACCAATACCTACAAAACCAACTTGAAGGAAATGTATATTCAACAAGGGGCTATTTTACTAGAATGGGATAAATTCGTATATAAGGAGCAACAACGTCCAATACCACCACCATATGCTCAGCCATCTCCGGCACAGAGTCCTCGGTCACCGTCACCATACGCTCAGCCATGTCCAGAAGTACAAGTTCCTCGGTCACCGCCACCATACGCTCAGCCATGTCCAGATGCACAGGTTTCTCAGTCATCACTCGTCATTCTTGAAGAAAGGATTGAAGAGACACCGCCTCGATTCCCAGCTAGTCCCAACTCTACATCGGTACATGGCATTTTTTCTGGCTGTGAAGAGTCATCAGATAGCGAAGTGAACTTGGACGATATCGAAAAGCCTATCAGAATAGACTTCGATGTGGATTCGGATGAGGAAGAGCTTGCCAAGGAACGGTTTGCCAACTTGAATCCTCGAGAACCAAATGATCAAGTCGATTATGATTTAGAAACGTCACAGATGCTTAAATCGAAGTTGGAGAACTGGATAGAAACAGTACTACCGATAAACTTCAATATTCACCATCACACACGTTTAACTAATAAGTTATCAATTCTTGGTAATTGTATTCGTATTTCAAATACTAATGTATTTGATGTTACTTTACTTTGGTGTTCTGCATTGTTTTTCTACGATCCATATGACTCTGATTCTGATAATGCTTTTGGATTATGGGGAAGGAGAAATTCATGGCTCATCCGAGATATAGTGGAACAGATTCAATGGACTAATAAAATGTGTAATAGTACTGAATTAAGCCCAGCATTATTAGAGCAGTTCATAAAGCTGGGTCAAGCTGCTCGTACTCTTGCTCTAGACATTTTATACAATAAAGGCGTTTATTTCAAGCAGAAAAGTGTTTTTATCGCTTATGTATTAGCGAAGTTTAGCAAGCCGAGTAGGAAGCCTGTTTCTCGAAAAAGATTGGAGATTGATGGTAGTGCATCTAAGCGTGTGAAGATGTAATTAGCAATAAGTACTCGAGACAATGATCTATATCAAGAGAATAAGCACTTGCAGGCAAATAGATCTATGTGAAAAAATGGCTTACCGTAATGGAGGCCCTCTCTATGGCGTTGCTCTTCGGTCAAGTTAGGGTAGTAGTAGTCCAGATACCTATGACGTCGAACACGTTTCTGGTCACCAAACAAGTCAGCAATGCCATCCACTTTATAGCTTGGAGGAATTGTGCGTATGAAAAAAGGAAGTTCATGATAAACTGAAGGCTCTGCAAGGTAACCCGAACCCTCTGCGAGTGCGATTAAGTCGTCGCCAACAAGTTCTAGTCCTTCCTTTGATATTTTGATGGTGATTGGAGTTATTAGTACCTATCATGTCTTGAATCATTGACGGGGCGAGTCAATTAAACGGCCACTTACGCTATGGGAGGCGAGCCCAAACAGCATCGTTTGCTAGACGGGGAGCTCCAGTGTAAACATTGGCATCAGTCTCGCTCACCAGTCGTTGTGTCTTGTAGTGACAGGCGCCGGCGGTTTTGGCGGGAGCTTTGATAGTATATCCTCGAATGAAGATGGGAACGGGAAAAGAAAATTGGTCTCACGGTTTGCCGGGAGAGGACGAACGCAGTCAGTATATGTCGGCTTTTTCTTTCACCATAGTGTTGTGACTCTCAAGTTCGGACCAAAACACCTGCTAGTCTGCTACAGGGACATTGGCGATTGCCATCTTCTGAAGCTCCAAGGGTCGACTCCGAATCTTGTGGTAAAAGATTGGAATATTCTTTGGTATCCTTGTAAACGGATACTATATCGGAATTTGAAGAAATGAATCTGACCGATTTGAACTGCTCCGGAGCCTACTCAACCTCAATTATTCGTGCACGTGAAAATAATCATTGAATTCTAGACCACTAGGTAAGCTCGGAGAACACCTGTTTGTTGCCCCGAGATGAACCCTGGAAGAATTACGAAGGGAATCGTTCGACAACAGCGCTTAGGATGTTTATCTTGTTTGGGCTACAGGTGAGGGGGGTAATACCATGTCCAGTACCTCGCCTCGAGCTCGCATAAGAATAAAGCAGGGATCTATAGTGCATTTTCTCACCTCATCCGAGGAAACCAACACAGTCTCGTAATCGCAGCCGGTTCTGTGATATCAATGGTATATAAACCTATTCTGAACGCAGTATGTTGTGAATTCTGAAAAACTGAGAACCAAGAACCAACCTCAAAATGGCCTCATCCCACCAAGAGCTCATTATTCCCCTTATAATTGATGGAAATGAAGATGTGGGCAGCGAGTTATTTGACGTGGTGAGTCCAAAAACTGGAAAAGTATGCTGGAGAGCAGTATCCTCGAGCTCTGAAGATGCAACTCGCGCGGTCGAAGCAGCACAGAGATCCTTCCCCTCCTGGTCGAAGACAAAGCCGCAACAGAAGCAAAAGATTCTTTTCAAAGCCGCGGATATTCTGGAGAGTCGGATCACAGAATATGGTGGTATTATGGAGACCGAAATGGGAGGAGCTGTCGGTCCGGTACACTTCTGGGTGCTTCCAACTGCAGTGCGATTCCTCAGAGATATTGCCAGTCACATACCATTGATAACAGGAGGTATACCCACCGTTGAAGACCAAGGAACCAGTGCTATGATTTGGAAAGAGCCCTATGGAGTTATCTTGGGAATATCGCCATGGTAAGCTTCGCATTGACTAAAGACAAGCATCTCAACTAAGTTAATACAGGAACGCTCCATTTGCACTAGGAATGCGAGCAGCAGCCACAGCCATTGCCACGGGAAACACAACAGTGATCAAAGGATCGGAATTAACACCTCGATGTTACTGGGCACTAGGACAAATTTTTCAAGATGCAGGTCTGCCAGCAGGTGTCTTGAATATCATTTACTGCAAAACTTCCGACGGAGCAACAGTTACCAATACCATAATCAGACATCCAGCAGTGAAGAAAATTAATTTTACGGGAAGCACAGATGTTGGCCGAAAGATCGCTCGTACCTGTGGAGAGAATCTCAAGCCTTGTTTGATGGAGCTCGGAGGTAAAAATAATGCGATTGTATGCGCCGATGCCGACCTGCAGAAAGCGGCCAAAGAGTGCATAGTTGGAGCTGTATTGCATGTAAGGATCGATCCGTCTGAATCTTGACAAGCCTGCTAATATTTGCACTCATCACAGTCCGGGCAAATATGCATGTCAACAGACCGCATTATAATACACACGGACATTGCCGAACAATTGTTAGAGGTCTTAAAGGCTACTATTATCAACCTCGCATCATCAGTATCTGCTCCACCATATCTTGTTAACGCCGCTGCAAAATCTCGGCTACAGGGGATGGTCTCAAAAGCTCTATCTGAAGGAGCTTCCAGTATTGTTGGAGACATTGAGCAGCTACAGCCAAGAGAAGGCGACGGAGCTACTCCTGTCATTTTTGCACCCATGATAATTGGAGATATTCAGGATGAGATGGCGTTGTGGCAAGATGAAAATTTCGGGCCTGTTGCCGCATACAGAATTGCCAAATCCGATGAAGGAGCGATAGCCATTGCAAACAACACTGAGTTTGGGCTAGTAGCAGCTGTATTCACTCAAGACCTTCGCAAGGGTTTTGCCATTGCAAAGCAGTTGGAGGCCGGGTGAGTTAGATCCGAGACAACCTGCTTCTAGAAGGTGCACTAACGACCTTCTGTTTTTAGAGCTGTTCATATCAATAGCATGAGCGTCAGCGATGAACCTGAATTACCAATGGGTGGAGTGAAGAATAGTGGCTGGGGTAGATTCAATACCATGCTCGGGATGGAGGAGTTCTTGGTCGCGAAATCAGTAACATGGGATGATTGAGCAAGAGTGTAGCAAACTGGAATGGGCGGATATTCGCCAACACTAGTTCGTAAGAAATCGAGAGCTCTATCTTCGACTTCAGATTTTCAATCTTACAATCGATAGTATCAGCTGCACTGTGCCTCTTACGTAGACAAACTGTTGCCCCTTTGCATGCATAATGCACATAGGCATGTGCCTTATCATACACTATACCACGATCTGTAGAAGAGTGTTAATTCAAATACATCCTCCGAGATTAGGTAGAAGTAGGACGCACTGTCACGTCACGTCACCGCCTCTCCACCCTCAACTGCAGACTCAAACCAACTGTTTTCAATAGAAAACCGCGCATTGCAATTCATCAGGCTGGAATTCTGGATACCCTCGTTCAAAGGGCAGCACTCGATCAAACATAGTCCCCACCGTACGTGGAGTGTGGAACTACCAACTGTTATCAGATAACACAAACCTAGCAAGCAACCCCAAAATTCAAAATCTGTGATCTAGAACACGAATGGTGGTATTGTACACTGTACCATTTCGGCCGCTCACTCGTACTAGAACAGCATAGTAAGTGTAGCCCCTGCCAATAAACTTGCCAATTCCCACTACTGAGCGGGAAACGTTAGACGGACCGTGCCATATTGGGGTATAATAGCTAAGAGGGGGCACCTAGCTAGCTTCCTACCCCTGCTTGTTAACCGATATCCCTACATCGTGCACGTCCCTGTATCGTGCACGTTTTTAAACTCACCCTACGACAACTTCAATATTTAATAATAAATACATTCAATAAGATATAAAGCTATAAGTTGTCTAAGAGTATAATAAGATATAATAGATTAGAAAAGAAGATTTAAAACTTCCTTATTTAAACCTTGTAGAAATCTTGATCTGTCGGCCTCGTTTCGACCGTATAACCCCCTCCCCTTCTTTTATTATTGATTTATCCACCACTATTATATTAGAAGGCTCTATAGCTTTTTTAAATATTAGATCTATAGTATATAAACCTTTTTGAAGCTTTAAATCTCTTTTAATAGAAGATCCTATTGATTTACAAGCTCTTTTAATCTCCTCTTTAGTATCTCTTGTAAATTAACAATCCACCTTCCTTTGTACTATTCTCTTTTTAACTTCAATCATCTTCTTTTCCTTTTTAGCTTTCTTATTAGCCTTCTTCTATATCTTAGCTTCCTTTTCCTACTCTATAGCAAGCATTTTCTCTGATTGAAAGATCTTAGCTCTTTTAATCTGAAAGGGGGAGTATAAAAAAGTATTATTAGTTTTCTTCTCTATAAGGTTTAAATGCTTGGAATGAGTCCTTTTCTTTTTTCCATTTTTAGAGCCTTTTCTAGATCTTTTACTCTATATGATTGAATATCAGTTTTAGCTGTATTAGTAAAGGCAGCCTTAAAAAGCTTCAAAGTAATCTCGAGATTCTGATTTTGTCGAAATTCTAATTTAAATCGATGTAGAGCTTTTGATGTATATGGTGTTTTAAATTTATTCTCTATAAGCTGTATCGATATAGATGGTGTAGTAGTTCTTTCTGGCTTTATGCTAGGTATAATAGCCTCCTTGTTGAGTGGATAAATACCCGCTTTTTCGAAGGATTGTAGTATATTATAGGAAATCGTAGATTAAGCTTAAGCCACTTTAAAAATGGTCTAAAAGTTGTGTTTCGATATACTAATTAAACTTTTGTTTTTATACATTCAATTGTTGAGTTCTATGTTATAATTTGTTGAAAGGGGGAGGAAATAGCTTATATCGAGTGGTTGTAGTTGATATATAAAGTAGGGAGGCAGAATTAATAATATAATCTTCAATTTGTTGTATTTTGATATAAATTCTATATTGATATGGTTAGAATAACTATTTATGATTAATAGCCGGTATTCTTTGTTTGCTTTTAGATATATATGGTGTTGAAAAACTTTTGTAAGTGTCACGGGGTGACACTAAGCCCTTTCTGTCCTGTCCTGTCCTGCTATATATGTGAGAGTAAGGTAGAACTTCCAGTTCTACCTCCTAGTCTTTTGAGCGTTTAGCTCAGCGGTAAAACTTCTGAATACTCCCAGAGGTAATCCCGTAACATTAAGTAGAACTACCCTTAATTATAAGTGGAGCTGTGTGGGGGGCCCACTTATAGCTTACAAGCCTTTATTGGTTTGGGGGCTAGCATATATAGATCCTGTCTGCCTATCTGAATACCTGAGGCATTAGAATCCAGAATTCTGAAACCTTTTAGTAGGTAATGGTATGGAGATTATACCTTAAGGAGGGGGGTGGTGTCACGGGGTGACACTAAGCCCTTTCTGTTCTGTCCTGTCTTGCTATATATGTGAGAGTAAGGTAGAACTTCCAGTTCTACCTCCTAGTCTTTTGGGCGTTTAGCTCAGCGGTAAAGCTTCTGAATACTCCCAGAGGTGATCCCGTGACAGTAAGCCAATTAAGCCCAAAAGCATTAGATGATTATTTATTGCTTGAGGCTTCGAAATAAGCTTGATTTTTTATGTCTACCTCATCAATCTATGTATCTTGTAGATTGCCTGATTTTTTTTTATAAATTAAAATAGGTAATAGAACTATATCATCGGCAGTTATATATACTAAGAAATAATAAACTCTTTTGATCCGTCTTGTTTAGTTTTTATAATTCTATCTCTTTTATATGTATTAATACTTATTATCCTCTTCATAGCTTTTTTAAAACCAATCAGGAATCCCTTCTCGTCCTAATTGTATATGTTTTTCGATACAATATCGTATTTTATGATCGCTTTTGCTAACTAAATGGATAAAAGAAAGAGATTAGCAAAAGCTTTTTTAAATAATATAAATCAACAATAATATAAAATAGCATCAACAAAATTATAAAAGTATTCAAATATATCCACATTATTGGCCTTGATATACAAATTATCAATGCAACAGAAATATCAACTTTGAATACAACTTTTATACCGCTTAACGAAGTTGACCATCCAATTCTTCCCTACAAAACACCCTTTTATCTCTTCTACTAAATTTCTAATTATAGTATTTGTAGGAGGTATAAATCTTTGTGTTAATTTATTAATCTGATCTAATAAAGTCTCCTCCTGTTCTAATAAAAGATATTAATATGTATCAGCATAGCCTATCTTGCAGGAGGTGGTTTTGCCTCTATGCCGTTTTGAGAGTATAATACGATCGACTCCGTATAAATAAGCTATCTAAGTATATTTAGAACATTCTTGACCTTTAATATAATCTAGCACAAGCTCTATACAGCTTTCTGAAAACATATTGTCGCGATATTTAGATAGTGATATTGATGTTTTTGAAAGCTAAAAAAGCGTGTATGATACAGGGATGTACACGATGTAGGGATATCGGTTACCAACCATTTCCATAATACGAGGCTACGAATGTTCAAAATTGCAAGACATCGGACGTAATTCTGTATCCATCCAGGACGTAGAGTTTGTTTGTGTGGCATGGAAACTGGACAGCTAGTTAGGGTTTGCAGAATTAGTATATTGGGTAGTATTGATTGGATTGCGGGGCGTCAAATTACCCCGAGAAAAATTCACGTTGGTGTGAACGGGTCTCCATGTAGAGCTAACATGTCAATCTTACATAAAATGTGTTGGAAATCTTGCAGATATCAATGTATGATGCAGAGATGCCTTCCAACGGTAGCACCGCGCAGTCTGTTACGTGACTGTGTTTAGACTTAAATTTTTTGATATTGTCTGCGAAACATATATCAGACGATTGCCCATAACTTCCATTCTATCTAACCAGGAATTTTTCGGGAATATACTTCTCTCGCATCATCTATCTCACAACAACAAAGTGTACCATACAGTATCTCGTATTTCAAAATTGCAACTTCCCCAAGTAGCAATCTTTTTTGGGGCTCTTCGCCTTGAGTTTAGGGGCAGCTCTTTCAGTTCTCAAAGGTGAGTAGCCAGCAAGTGGCAAAATATTGGGCTAATCCACTGACCATATCATAAAGAGCGAGCAGATCCCAATGACTTGATCGGTAACAGCTGGAGTCAGATCTCCGAGGTGGAAGTTTTGCCATCATCTGATATCATTGAACCCTACGACTAGACGGCCTTACCCTCCATTTTCGGGCTTTCATATCGCTGCTACAAGCGTGACATAGATGATGGAGGCCGTTGTGAGTCAAGGAAGGAAGCAAATCCAAATCTTGATGGAAGAGTTGGTTGCAGGCGAAGAGGTAGACATTTGACTTTTGGCTTCGTCTTACATTGTTATTACCGGTATTTATTTCTGTGATCAGAACTTCAAGCATATGTGACTTTGAGGCTCAGTACCTATCTGTCAATTTTACCGAGATGGGGCTTTATCGTCTTGTAGGTTTGAAGACAGGCTATTACACGATAACCCCTCCGTATTGACCTTTCGGGAGCGATTGAAATGACAACACGCTGATCAAATTCTAAGCCTGATGGGGAACCACGGAAAATCTAAACACTGCTGAAAACACCCAATCGAAAGCTATGATTTATACCCAACGCAACACATAGCAAGTAAACACTATAATAAATTTCTTTTTAATTGGATTGGTTAATTAGACTATAAGGATTTCAAGATTTCTTATAACTTAATAATTAAAGGTCTTTAAATAGGCTCTATTCTAATATACATAATTTAAAATACATTTCATAACTAGAAGCTAATTAACCTAAAAAGTCTACTAGTCGGAGAAAAAGAGTTTTCAGACTGCGGATCCGTAGAATTTCTTTTTTCTTATTATTATAATAATTTTGAAATCCTACATAGTTTTCAGGTTATTTTTTCCCTAACGGCTAGTATTAACGTGAAAATCTAAGATGTAAAATGTAAAATTCTAATCCTAACTATATTCCAAAATTTAATAACATAAAACATTTATGGGGGCCAGCCCCCGATCCTCGCTACGCTCGAGTTGAAACTACTAACCGATGTGTGACAAAAGCTATTAGGAATTATAAGGCTCTTTTCAAGAGTATTGCGATGGAATTATTGAGGTGGCCATGAAGGAATTAGATGATTAGGATGATGATTTTGAGCAAGAGAACTGAAACCTTAACTGTGGCGAGGCAAACAACTTTTGGAATTTGTCCTCTTCTTTCCACCTGTCTTAGCAATTGTCGTATTGTGCTTACATATGCCTCAACAGTGGTAAGTCACAGACCAAAGATTGTTTGACTATCTTGAATCTTATATGAAATCTATTCCTCTTTTGATACTTAAAGGTTGCAAATAGTTCTGCCTAATTGCGCGATCATTCCCTCATTCCATTGTTGTTGCATAATCGGGCGCAAGTTCACAGGGTTTGAAGCGAATCGTGAGGATTGTCAAGGGCTGGTATAATGTGACCAGAACTTGCAGATTCAGCCTTCTCGTGCATAGAAAAGTTTAGAATTTATTCTTATAGTGAGGCACATATCCCGTAATCTTCTTTGAACTATCTTTCTTCATAAATCGTTACCATGGCAAGTTTTTCACGAGCTTCTACTCTGATTGGCGAAGATGATTTAGCTAGCAAAAAGGGAGAAAATGAACTAGTAGGCGAAAATGTGTGTTTTATTTATACTATAATGCTGTGCAATCGGAAGCCGGGTGATTTTTTTATAGCTACTGATGATATTGCCTGCAGGACTCTGTACCAAATCTCTGGCATCAAGCATATGAACGACTGGCCGAAAACGAAAAAGAGGGACTCAAATTTACACAACACAATGGTCAATTGAACTTTACAGAGCAGTCCTCCACATTGGTGCGAATGGTCATAGAGAGGAAGGAAGAGTGTGAAAAACGACAATGGAAGCTTTATACCAAAAAGAATGGAGATAGAATCATGGTCCGAGATATATTTGTGAAGATTAGCGAGTGGATCAATAAGTTTAAGGAGGTGGGAGACGCTGCTGTCCAGTACGATCCCGGACACGCAGCCTTACCTTGGGCGGCCGTCCGTTTCTTCCTCCAGGTGAGACTGAATATGCGCCATTGCAAATTGTACACTGACGAGTACTTGAGGTCGCGATAAACGATTCCCAGATATACTGCGGGATGATGTCTAGTATGGAGGAAGTCTCGAGGATCATCGCATTATATACAGAGCTTGAGACGAGGGTTCTTGTCAGACAATCTGTCCAAACAAGATTGCTATCCGATGCCGTTGTTAGGCTGTACACTGCTATCCTGCGATTCCTCATCCAGGCATATAACTACTACGGAAAACGCACACTGAGTAAGTTTCAAACAGATGTAGTGCTCTGGAGATTTGATAATTATTGTTATACTAAATAAATTCATATAGCAAGGGTTTTGGAAAGCTCCCTTAAAGGCGCCAAGTCGGTTTTAGTTGAGCCAAATCTAGCCATAGAGGACCTCGAACACAAGGCTTATGAACTAGTCATACTTGTTCAACACGAATGCTTAACTGCATCTCTCGATGGCATCATAGCAAACCTAGCGCAGAACAATAAAGGGCCCAAGCTATCAAACGAAGACAGACGCAGACGTATATCTGCCTGGATCAACGGTATCGAGACGAAGAATACTTATGAGATAGCGCTCCAGAATCGCCACGAGGGAACTTGCGAGTGGGTTCTAAAGTTGGAAGACTTCGAGGCTTGGTCAGCCCCGCAGATACCTCAAGGAAAGCTTCTTTGGTTGCATGGACCACCAGGTTTTGGCAAAACCTTCATGTCAGCAAGGATTATTGAACATCTAGTAGAAAGAGATCAAGGACCGGTGGCATACTTCTTCTGTGTAGCTGAGAACCAACAAACTCGAGATCCTTATTCTATCCTTAAGTCATGGTTGTCTCAGCTGCTGGAGCAGGACGAAACGATGATCTCGCTAATGGAGGCTGTTTTGGCGAATAGAACCGGCAAGGATCAATCATTGACACGAAATGAACTATGGAAACTTTTTGTTGCGGTTGGGGAAACCATAATCGGATGTACCTTTGTGGTGGATGGGTTTGATGAATGCACTGATATCAATTCTGGGGTTGGCTATCACACTAAAGATCCACGAAACGAGTTTCTGCGTGACCTAGTCGAAAATCTATCTGCAACAAAATCTCGGGCTCTTGTAGTCAGCAGAGATGTTGCAGACATTAGAGAATTCGTAGGCAAAATTTCAGACTCCCCTGGCATCGAAAGATATGAATATCAGATCACTGCGCAAAATACATCAAGTGATGTAGAAGCATTTTCTTCAAGTGTAGTGAAGAGAAAATTTCCACGGAAACCTGAAAAGGATAGAGATGAGATTGCAAAAAAAGCGGCAAAGCGTAGTGAGGGAATGTTTTTGTGGATAAAGTTATTAGAAAACGAAATCTCGAGAACAAAGAGTCAACAGCGACTCAGAGAGATCGTAGAAAAAATGCCACTTGGAATAGGCGATGCGTATGAAAGAGAAGTGGAGAAAATTATAAAAAACCCTAGAATTGAAGAAAGGAACGAGGCAATCATGATTTTGAGATGGGTCCTTTTTGCCGTGAGACCTCTTCAGGTCAAACAGCTGGCTGAAGCTCTGATCGTTTCCGATGATAAGGTGTCGGAGAGATACCCAGAGGAATATCTACCAGATACTTGGAAAGAATCTTTTGTTGATGAAGATTATGTGCAAGAGATAATTCTCAGACCGTGCGGATCTCTATTACAACTACGCTCCGGCAAAGAAGATGAACTACTAGCGAATAAAACAGTTCATTTTGTGCACTTTTCAGTCAAAGAGTATCTTTCTAGTCTAACGAACGAAAGTGTTCTAGGTAGAGCTCTTGGATTACTTGATACTCGTACAGAGGAACTTCGATTGGCTAGAATATGCTTGCGCTATCTCACACTGAACGTGTTTGAAGAGATGTCTGCAAGTAGTGATAACACTACGTACCCATTCCTGGAATATGCGGCATGGGCTTGGTTCTTTCACGGCTTTGACCGAAACTTTGCACCTCCGAACGAATTTGGCCATTTAACCAGAAGGGTATTCAAGCCATCATCATCGAGTTGGAGGATATGTGGTACCTTTCTAGAAAATGAATTTGATGACTCGGCCGAATCGAAATCTGCACAGGAAAACTTTCATCCCGAAGACTATCCTGGAGAGTCTGATGCGGGGTCAACAGAGTATAGCTGGATAAATGATGAGACAATAGACGATGGAAGCACTGGTGATTTATCAGTATCACAACCTAGCTTCCACGAAGTTCAAAACCCTGCGTACTACGCTTCACTTTTGGGACTTCAAGATGTCATCACATGGCTCGAAGAACAAGGAATTGACTGCAGTTGTGAGGGAGGTCGTTTTGGTTACCCACTACAGGCAGCAGTTGTGAGAAAACACAAAGAATTAATCATCCACTTTCTCAGCCGGGGAATCGATCCGTCCCAGAAGGGTGGGCTTTATGCATGTGCCATCATTGCAGCGGCTGCTGTATCAACTTCAGAAATTCTGAATATCCTTCTTGATGCAGGCGCAAACGTAATGGCTAAAGATGCTCAAGGTTGGACGGCACTACACCATGCTGCACGCCGAGGCAATGTCGACATTGTACACATTTTGATCAATCATCCTGAGTGTGATAAAGATGCTGTAACGACGGGCAACACACCCAAGACCGCTCTGAGCTTGGCTTGTGAATATGGAAACGAAGAAGTCGCGTTTGCTCTCCTGAATCAAGGCGCAACAGGCTTGCAAACCGCACTACCACAGAATGGCGATATGCCTCTTCACTATGCCATCACATACGGTCATCACAAGTTGGCTTGCAGATTACTAGACGCCGGAGCTCTATTTGAGACCAAAACAAGGACAGGAATGACTCCTCTGTTAATCGCAATCATTGAAAATGCTCCCAAGGTTGTCAAAAAGCTCCTCGAGAAAAATGCAAGAGTCGATTTGATTTACGAGGATTGGACAATGCTCCAATTTGCGTCATCCGGGGCAGATCCTGAAATAGTAAAATTACTAATTGCCTCAGGTGCGGATGTTAATCAGTGTGGAGGCAATATCCAGTCCGAAGCTTCATCACTGCTTATAGCAACCTCTCGTAATCGAACAGATGTTATTTCGATTTTACTTGAGCATGGTGCAACAACAGAGCGTGCGGCATACTTCGCAGTTCTATATGGACACGAGTCGGCGATGAGCTTGCTGTTAGACCACGGCGCATCAATTACGTGCATTGAAGAAACATCGCAGGAAACACTGTTTGATTTATCCCTAAGGATGAAACGGAATAATATTTCACAAGACTTAGTGAGGCGCGGAAGCTTCCGAAAGAGCTTGAGAACCACGGAAGAATACTTGAAGAGCATTGACAAAGGTTGTGATCATGACCTAGCGATTTTGACTTTCCTTGGTGATGCCAGAAAAGTTGAAAGTCTCTTCAAAGAACCTATCTTCATTAGTCAAGATGATCTAAACGAAGCATTTCATATTGCGGCCGCGCGTGGTTTTCTGGACATATTAAAGATGTGTATACAAAAAGGGGCCTCTGTCAATAGTAGGGAGCTTACAGGGAGAACCGCGCTCCACGCTGCCGCATTCCACAACTACGAGGAAATAACGGAAGCCCTTGTCGTCAATGGTGCGAGTTGGTTCCTAGAAGACAGCATTGGCTCTACACCAATAGACTTGGCTGTAAGACGTGGGCAAAAGGCGCTGAACTTAGTACAACAATACATTTCCGACTACAGTTTCGTTATTCGAAAAAGACCATCACTCCTCGAGGACACAAGTAGGAATAAAAGTGCAGCCACCGCGCAGAAGATTAGGAAGTCTCTTTCTGGACGGTGGGAAGGTTCATATGAGTACTTGAGCTGGTTCAAGGGGAGGATTGATGAGTTCGCGATTGAGATCTCTGAACCGGAGCCGGTCTTGGCCTCATCAACTACGTTCGAAGAGGAAAACTATGATATCGCGGGAGCCTTTAAGATCATGGGGTTTGTCGATGAAAAAGGTATTGTTTGGTTTGTAAAGCTATACGAAAGACATGGATGGCTGTACCGCGGCCAATTGGATGAAAGCCTGAAAACTTTCAAAGGTACTTGGGGCAAGAATCGAAAGCTTTGGCAAGGAACCTTCGTCCTGAATCTTGTTTCATGATTTGAAGAATTGATAAGAATGAGTAATTATCAACAATAGAACCCTTATATATGAAAGAGAAAATGATTCCTTCATAATCTATTTCCTCTGTAGCTTTCTAATTCTAGTTATTTCACCTCTGTTGATATACTCTAGTATATGATCGTGACAAAAATCTTGTGTAACTTACGCTGCCCCTTTTAATCTTCAACCCGTCCCCAGCAATCATCTCATCTACTGTTCTGCCAATTGCCTGATATCTTTATGCTAACCTTCTGTCCTGTTATTCTTATTCTCGGTGCAGTAATGGTTACCTCGGGCATCATGTCAGCCTCCAATCTGTTTCCTTACTCTAAGCACTTCGGTCTGCTGATTCGCAAGTCAATCTAGGACAAACCTACGAGTACAAAGGATGCTGGTCTTCTCGAGAAATCAAGATCGGGATGGCTTGAAATCTATTTTGTTGTTGGCTTGGGAGAGACAAGATGGCACGAGGCTGTTACTGATATAGAGTACAAGAATAGAGTGGCGTAGATTCTATATTTTTTCTGTCTTAGTAAGGGCCGAACGAGTACCAGTATATAATGAAGCACTGGTTCAATTTTTTGATAACAATTCATGATTGTGAAATTGTTCTGTTAGATTCTAACCATATTGCCCGAAATCACATTATATAACAGTTGCTTCGCCCCACTATAAGTTAGTTCTTGAAGCATGATGCAAATTATTTCGTTTATCATGTTGGTACGATAGATGCTTCGCCGCACGATTCGAATCATGTCAGACCAACAGATAGCCAGCCAATCGAATTTGTCGTATGAATCGTCTTCGCTCGCAATTGTGCAGGCAGAATCGCTGTGGAAACGGCAAATGGAGAGCGATAAGGCAAAGCAATAAATCCGGGGACATATTGAAAAGCGAAATGAACGTCGGAGAACCCCCTTAACTGTATCTTATCGAGTTAAATACATTATCAGATACAGCTTTCCTTCCCATTAAGGAGGGTTGCAATGACACATGTTACTCTATATACTCCTTATGGCACCAGTACTCTGTGTTCCTGATCATGCTTCAATCTTTTCTATTATCCGCTAGTTTGACTTTTTTTTTTTGAAGATTTCGAGACGAAATGAGTAGCTCCAAAAAGGCCAGCTCTTCAGAGAAAGATATCGGTATCACTGACCTGGAAACTGGCTCTGTTCATGAGACTGCATTGAAGATAGAATCTTTAAACGTAGAAAACTCTACCGAGCACAAACCAACCGCGCCGAGACAAGAGATCACGTATATCCAAGGATGGAGGTTCCATCTTCTAAGTTTTGCGTGAGTGAAGAGAACCATCTCCAAAGGAGAGAATGTTCTAATGAATGTGATACAACATAGGATTGGGTTGTGTGTATTTCTGGTAAATATGGAAGTCTCCATTGTGGGCACTTCACTCGTATCCATGACAAACGAGTTTCATGGTTTCGATGAATCCACTTGGGTTATAACGGCATATCTCGCTACTTACACAGGTGAGTTAACTTTCTTAGCACTTATTTAAGAGGATACAGCCTGGCATTCGTCATCGAACGGGTTCTAAAAAACAAGACAAGGAAAATTCCCCTCAGTATACCATGAATAATAACATTTTGGCTTCTAAGATTTCTGATCATATGGGGAAGACTCAGTGATGTGTTTGGTCGAAAATGGACCTATGTTGCAACAAACTTCATATTCCTTGCTTTTTCAGCTGCCTGTGGAGCGGCCCAATCTATGTTACAATTGTAGGCCTTCACAATCCCTTACCAGCAGTACCTGCGTACATCCATTTATACCAACTATCTCTGATTTAGGATTATCTGTCGTGCATTTAAAGGCTTGGGTGCCTCGGGTGCATTTTCTGTCTCCTTGACAATCTTTTACGAATTTATCCCACCACCAAAGTACCCATTGTACGGGAGCTTTATATCCATGCTGAGTACTGTTGGTGCTCTTGTTGGTCCCTTAGTAGGTGGTGCAATTGATACCACTTCTACGTGGAGATGGGTATTCTTTTTGAAGTACGCATTTTATGACCACTTCATTTCACTTCACTAATATTAAGAACAGTGTCTTTGGAACAACGATCATACTTGGATTGGTTATCTTTTTGCTTCCTGGAAAATTCCCATATCACGGATCATCTGCATCGTCAGCGACTACCCCCTGGCAATCTTTGCTGAAAAGAGTTGATTTCGTAGGCGCTTTCTTACTTTTAAGTGCTTCAGTCCTTGTCATTACAGCATTACTCGAGGTCTCCACGGTCTTCACATGGTCTTCGGCTACCACTGTATGTCTCTTGACAATATCCGGTTTGATTTGGATAGGATTTATCGTGTGGGAGTGGTTTGTTGGAAGCAGCAAGGACATTCAAGAACCAATGTTCCCTCGAGTTTTACTTGAGAATCGAACGTGGATGGGAATAGCTTTGTAAGTCAAACAGATGATCACATGGTGACTTCAAACTAGATTGGCATGTAAGATCCAGTGGCTGACAATTATCTGATCGTCAAGGACATCCTTCCTCGTTGGTATCCCATCTCAAATCATTACCATTGAAATTCCCCAGAAAGCACAAGCCGTATACGGAGACTCCCCTTGGCAAGCCGGATATCGACTAATAGCTTACACCCTTGCTGTTCCCGTTGGCAGCATTGTTGCAAATACGATTATTGGCAAAACCAAAATACCTCCTATCTATCTCCTATTCTGCGGTACTGCCATCCAAGTGCTTGGCGTTGGATTGTTACTGACAGCCCCGGCCTCTGGAATTGTTCCTGGGCAAATTCATTTTTTTGAGACGCTTATTGCTTTCGGGGTTGGCAGCTCTTTCGCCATACTTCTGGTATTAAATCCGCATTGCATTGAGAGACAATATATCGGTACGTTTGATCTTAACCCACTCATAATTTCCTCTTAAAAACGATAAACCCATAACATATGCTGCATTATAGCCACTGCCTCTGGCGCAGTCGTCCAATTCCGTATGACAGGAAGTACACTCGGTCTAGCGTCCGTTACCACAGCCCTCAACAATCATCTATCAGGCCATCTCCCGAAGATCCTCAATGATACTCAACTCAAAAGTGTTCTATCATCTACTTCTGCGATATCTTCTCTGGAAGAACCTTTGAAAGCTCAGGTATAAGAGGTGTTTGGACAGGGGTACGATTTGCAATTAAAGATTCTGATTGGATTTATGGCGGCACAATTCTTGACTTTGTTATTGATTTGGAATTGGAAAAGGCCACAAATGAGTATACATAAGAGTGGCGGGCATTAGGGAGTGAGTGAGGATTAGCTGGGCTAGTGATAAGTCGCCATATTCATGCTTCTCATGGTATGTGAGAAGGTATATCTTGTAACCATCGATGAGCAGCCTGGGAGGCAACTGGGGAATGAGGAATGAAGTTCATCTGAATTCCTGATATAAGAATATGGGGCGTGATAAGGCTGATGAGAGGTTTGTGTACTCCGTAAATAGCTGATATATTCAATAATAAGTGCCGAAGGAACGACGATCATCTCATGTGCGAGAAAGAGTCTTCTTACATGGTTGCCCAAAACCGTTCAAGTCGACCTGCAACGGATCACATACATATTAGCCATACTAGACTCTGGAGATCCTTATAAATTCATTTGAGTTCCTCCCTACTAGATATATCTCTGCTCTCGATAAGTCTTCTCAAAGTCTATGCCGCACATCAGTATCGGTATGGATAAGATACAACTACTTACTTTGTATGTTTCCAAGTACTGCGTGCAGAGCCGGATCACCCCGTGAATAGAAAAATCTTGACCTCTTATTCGTCAACTTCAGGCTTCTCTCTCTACTTTGTATAATATTATCATACGAGTCTTTCTTCTGTTGTAGTCAATATCGGCCAATAATGAATCCGTGCTCTCCCATTTATTAGATTCGTGCCCCCCCCCCTTTCTTGATTTAAAATAGCCCTGTGTATTACCCCTGTCGCATCATTAGTAACATTATCCACTTTTGTCAAAAGTGAGGATATATTATATTCTAGAGCAACATGATATAACAACATCACGGGCTTGTGGTTTAGTGGTATAAAACCACCCTTACTTGAACGTGACATTCCTAATGAATGCTGCTTGAAAAATGGTGAACTCGGATTTCGTAAACAGGTCCTGTGTTATACTGTTTTGATGATACTCAATCCCGAATACCGTATGTTGAAATACGATATTTTATAAAATCTGATGCCGGAATTCCGTAATCTCAATACAAGGATTAATTCATGCTAAACTGAAAATGGGAGTTCGTATACAGGCATTCGAATCCGCAGCAAGGCAGTTTTTCATTGCCAAGCTGAGAAAGGAAGTTCGTAAACCGTCATTAGGCATTTTTGCCAGTTGAGCTGAAAATAGGGTTTCATCATCAAAGCCTTACCCTAATTCATAGGGTAGGAAACGAACTGATCTTTTCTTGTAGGTAGATAGTGATTACCAATCCCTGGAAGTGTAAAAGGAGATAACGTCCCTCCCTACAAAGCGAGACACCCTGTGTGCCGAGACAGACCAACGAAATAGGATGAATTTCGAGATAAATATATCGATACATCAAGAGAAACAGTGTGAAGAACATAATAGCAAGCCTGAATATGAATAATTTTTACTGTTATTGGTTTCAAAGAGATATTACGAAGACAAAGTCAGAATTCTTGAGATTTTATTGGTCGGTCTCGGCACACAGGGTGTCTCTCTACGCAGGGAGGGACGTTATTGAACCAATGAAAGCTTCTAGAAAATACCTGCGGTATCAAACAAATGCTTATGATTGGATACTAAATTCAACGCCTCGTTGTCAATTGATTGTAGCTTGTGTATGGTTTGTGTATAGCTCATTGGGATAATCATACGTAAAGACAGCTTCCGATCAAACTCAAACTAATAATCATTACACAAATTGTCAATTGAGTATCCTGAGTTCGAATCGTACTTTTATAAATTCGAAGTATCAAATCTATAATCGTTCCCCCCTAACTCATACCTCTATCCAAGTGAAAGACTTAAAACTTTTTTCGCTTTTTCCTAACATTCTACAGGCTACTACATAGATCTTAAAAACCCTATTTATAACATGGCGGTTTGAAATGTGTTTTGTAATTGGTTGGAATTACGACGAGAGGATTTCATAGAATGCGTATCAAGCAGTGACCTATCCTACCCCTCTATCTGTACCACACCAATCAATATTATCTTTGTCTCAAACCTTCGATTTTGATAACGATTGTTTCAAAGCCACATCTACTGAATATATTCCTTGTATTTCTTTGCGTTATTAAAACTGTTATGTAACCATACTAGAATATGCTAGAATTGAGGTGGCAAATCGAAAGTCTATATGATCACAGACTTCCCCCAACCTCTCTATTACAGAGAAGGAAAAAAAGAAAAGGAAAAAGAAGAAGGAATACTACATTATAGATGACAATGGTATAGCAACTAATAGATAATTTATACTAGAACTTGTTTTGACCTGGACAATGTGAAACTTTCATACTCAAGCTTCAAGATGAAAATGCCACCGGAGGGGATTCCTATGGCTATAATCCCCTTATGAAAAGATGTACAAGATGGTCGATAGTCTGGAGGTAGCCAAATCTTATTTCGCATTTCTCCATCTACCATTTCAACTATCCAATGGTTTGATATAGAGTAGCGTTCAAAGGCTGAGGATGCCTCTAGGCCTGAATGACCTTTGAATGATTGAAGCGATTTGCCCGTTGCGACATCCCAGCGCCGGATTGTTTTATTGCTAGAGCCAGAAGCTACCACTTTATCATCCAATAAAAAGGCAACCGACTCAACGTAACCGATTTCCCTACTACGTGCACGTCCCTGCTATATGCACGATCTCGATCACCCTTTTTGAATAACTTTAAAAATTAATAACAATTCCAATTTATAAGATAAAGAGCTAGCAATTTAATTGATAAATGATAAGATACAATACTATCTAAAAACATAATAAAATCTTCAGATTTTGAATTTCGATGGAACTCGTAGTGCTCGCCCTCTACTAGATCGCAATATGACCTCCTCCTCCTTCCCCTTCGAATTATTAGCCTCTACAGCATCAGAAAGCTCTATAGTCTTTGTCGATGTTAGATCTATAGTAGAAGAAGCTTTGGGGAACTTTTTATCTCTTTTGATTGGAGATTTTGTTGATTTTAGAGTCTTTTTAACCTCCTCTTTCGCATCACGTGCAATCTGACGATCAACCTCCCTCTGCAATACCCTCTCTTTCGTCTCAATCTCCTTCCGTTCCTTCTCAGCTTTCTTTTCAGCTTTTATCTGAAGCTTAGCTTCCTTCTCTTGCTCCTCTTTAAGTGCTTTATCTTCTTGATACGCTCTAGCTTTAATAATAGCAGAAGGTGACCATAAAAACGCACCATTCCCCTCCTCTCCAATGAGATTTAAACGCTTTGAACGAGCTCTTTTCCTTTTTTCAAGCTTTAGAGCCTCTTCTAAACCTTTAGATCTATGCCCCTGTATAGAAGCTTCAGCTCCTAATGTAGTTGCAGCCTTAAAAAGCTTTAAAGTGATCTCATGGGTGGGAGCGCGACGAAATTCTAATTTCATTCTACGCATCGCTTTTGACGTATACGGTGTAGCAAGAGCATCCCTGCGAGTTTTAAATGATGTAGGTGGCGTAAGAGGAGCTTCCGGAGCAATACAGTCGATCGTAAGACTCCTATTCATAGGATATATGCCCGTTTTTTCGAAGGATCGTAAGATATTATGCCTCGTACAAGTGAGCTCCCAAGCCTTTTTAAATATGCCCCAAAACATGCGCTTTGTCATACCAACAATCCCCCCGCTATTGTGCATCAAATCATTCAATAATGTACTGTAATTCGTCGAAAGGGCACCGAAGGTTCCAACGTCGAGAGGCTGTAGTCGATGTGTAGAATGAGGGGGGAGAATTAAGACAATAATCTTTAATTCATCGCATTTTGAAAGGAATTCCATATTGACATGACTAGAATGACCATCGACAATAAGTAGACGATATCTTCCACCTGCTTTTCGACGTGTAGCAGGGTCGAATACGTTTATAAGCCAATATAGGCCAAAAGCATTCGACGACCACCCATTGCTTGAGGCTCCAAAATAGGCTTTATCCTTCTCCCCTACATCCTGAACCCATGTATCTTGTAGATCCCCTGAGTCTCCTTTATAAATAAGAGCGGGAGGGAGAGCTGTCCCATCAGCGCATATAGCTGCCAATAGGGTGATAAACTCTCTTGATCCATCTTGCCTAGCTTTTGTCACTCTGCCTCTATTATAGGCGCTAGCACTCATTATCCTCTTCATAGTCCTCCCCATACCGATCATAAAGCCCTTCTCGTCCCAATTGTATATATCTCTCGGCCGTATATCGTATTTTATGGTCACTTTTATCAACTAAATTAAAAAAGAGGGGCATTAGCAAGAGCGTTTTAGGTAATAAAGATCAACAACAATAGAAAATAGCTCAAACCAGATCATAAAAGTAATCAAATATAGCAACATTATCGGCTTTCACACGCAAATTATCAATGCAACGGAGATACCGACTTTTAAGACGTGTTGAATGCCTCTTGACAAAATTGCTAGTCCAGTTCTTTCCCACCTCTCTGCCTAGGATCTCTTCTGCAAGGTTTCTGACTATGCGGCTTGTAGGAGGGATAGATCTCTGTGTCAGCTTGTTGATTTGATCAACTAAAACCTCCTCCTGATCGCTAGAAAGCGCTTGTTTCGTATCGGAGAGGAACTGTTTTCTCGAGGTGGTTTTACCTCTATGCCGCCGGGAGAGCGTGGATCGATCAATTTTAAAGAAATTAGCTGTCTGGGTGTATTTAGGAGCTTGAACCCCTTTCAAATGATCTAATGCAAGCTCTATACGAGCCTCTAAAGGCATATCATCGATGTTTGAAGCCATAATGTTGATATTTTCAAAGTCGTGCACGTAGTAGGGACGTGCACATAGTGGGGAAATCGGTTAATCCGAATGGCCCTCGAATGATTGAAGCGATTTGCCTGTTGCTATATCCCAAAGCTGAATTGTATTATCATCAAAGCTAGAAGCTACCACTTTACCATTCGGCGAAAAGAAAATTGATGTAATGTAACTCGAATGGCTCTCGAGTGATTGAAGCGATTTGCCTATTATCATATCCCAAAACCGAATTGTTTCATTGTCAGAGCCAGAAGCTACTACTTTATCATCCGGCGAAAAGGCAATCGAATAAACGCAATCCGAATGGCCCTCGAATGATTGAAGCGATTTACCTGTTGCAACATCCCAGAGCCGAATTGTTTTATCGCTAGAGCCAGAAGCTACTACTTTACCAACATCCCAGAGCCGGATCGTTTTATCGCCAGAACCAGAAGCTACCACTTTACCATCCAGTGAAAAGGCAACTGACCTAACATAAGTCGAATGGCCCTCGAGTGATTGAAGCGATTTGCCTATTGCAACATCCCAAAGCCGGATTGTATCATCGCCAGAACCAGAAGCTACCACTTTACCATCCAGTGAAAAGGCAACCGAATTAATGTAATCCGAATGGCCCTCGAGTGATTGAAGCGATTCGCCCGTTGCAACATCCCAGAGCCGGATTGTTTTATCGCCAGAACCAGAAGCTACCACTTTACCATCCGGTGAAAAGGCAATCGAATTAATGTAATCCGAATGGCCCTCGAGTGTTTGAAGCGATTCGCCTATTGCAACATCCCAAAGCCGAATTGTTTTATCACTAGAGCCAGAAGCTACCACTTTACTATCCGGTGAAAAGACAACCGAATTAACACGACTCGAATGGCCCTCGAGTGATTGAAGGGATTTGCCTGTTGCAACATCCCAGAGCCGGATCGTTTTATCGCCAGAGCCGGAAGCTACCACTTTACCATCCGGCGAAAAGGCAACCGATGTAACGTATTTCGAATGACCCTCGAGAGTTTGGAGTGCAGCACTCCAATTTGATCGTGTTCTTGATATTTTATGAATCCAATTGGGGATAAATTCTTGAAATATTTTTCAAATGATGCTCTCCTCAGGAGCAAAGAAAAGAGCTGAGCAATAGATTTGAAGAGGAGCTTGTTCAATTCCTATTCGATTGTGTAGCAAGAGTCGTTTTGCGTCATGAACAAAGGCATATAGCCTAGGACTTTGACTTTTCTATATAGCATGATTAGCAGCTAGCGATTAAGCTATCTTAATTACTCTTACATCTACCATATCCTCTAGTATTTGCATCGCACGAATTCCTTCAGATATCTTACCAGTCAAGCTAAGCGCTTCAAACCAGTGGAGCAAGTGGCGCTCTAGGAAAAAATGTATCGGGCCGTCGTCATCAAACCATTGCTTGCTTGGCGGAACACGCCAGAAACAAGTAATCCACCAGCCTAGTCCAAGGACTCCAAGCCAGGGAAGCCAGTATTGTAGAAAGAACATATAGATTGAGTGATCATGAAGCTGCTGGAACAAAATCGTTCCCCAAACCAGAGCAAGAGCTAGACAATGGTGCTGAGAGAACATATAAATCGGTATGTCGTAATGGAAATATTGACCACTTAGCTGAAGCTGCGGAAACAATGTTGTTTTCTTGATCAAAATAAAAGCTCCAAACCAATGAAACCAATGGCCTACTAAATAACTATCGAACAGGGATTCATCCTTTGAATGTCTCTGGCGTTGTTGAAGGCACTGAGCACAATATCTTCGTAAGAAACGATACATATAGGTCTCGTGAACTCCAAATATGCTTTGGTGGAGGTGCTTGACCCAGTACTCGCAAGCATATTGAAGCTCCGGTGGAATACGAGACTGTATTTTTTCTAATGGAACTTCAGCTGCTTTTGCACCAGTATCCTTCAAGTCACACAAATCTTCTTTTTTGAACCTCTGGGACATGAGCCTAATACAGTTATTTGCTAATGCCTCATGTATATTCCTTTCATCGACCCAGAAGCCTGAATCGCGGCATCTCTCTGGGCTGAAGAGGAAGTCGCGCAATGAAGGATGATGAATTCGGACTGGTTGAGCTGAATCCTCATTTGGGATATCCAAGATTGAGTAGAGTCCTCCAAGAGTAACTTCAACTTTAGGGTTGTTATGATCCTTTAGTAGTATCTGAGTTATAGAGTGAGCAGGAAGAGGCGAATAGAGTGTAACAATAGACCCAAGTGCTTCTCTTGATATATTGTAGGCCTTGGTTCTCTCGTACGGCTTTAGATCAGGGCCAATAGAGTCGTTGAGAACTATAGTGTAGATTTTATTTAACTCTTCCTCGGGTTCGATATCGGAGCTGGATCCTTCAAGAATGGCTGACAACCTATCCTTAGCGGAATGCTTGCCGCCGCCGCCAATGAATCGAGATGCGGTGGATGCCCAGATGAATAAGCCTGATGCCTTGCAAACTAAACGTTCGATATCATTCTCGTTAGGCCATTCTTTATCAAACTGGTGTTTTTTTTGAATATCTCTAAGCTTATCTTGAAGATAAGTTGATATATCATTACGAGTCTCCTCTTTCATATTATCGCCGAGATTCTTACAATATGCTTTAAGGCCAAACTGGGATTTATATCGGATAAAAGTGTCAGGCCTGCTTGTTATGAACACGCGGCAATGAAGTCCTCCAAAACTCGAATTGCTCAGCAGCCCAAGGATCGGTGACACATCCTTCTCCTCGCATTCATCCAGTGCATCGATCACAATGAGGAGAGGGGCTTCAACCGAGTTGGTGCTCCGGTTTCTGAGTGGGTTCATAACGAGCTCGATCCATTGGGTAATCAGGTCTTTGGTCATGATGCTTTCGTCTTTCAGTATCGCCTTCTCAACTGAAGACTCACAGACTTTTTGACTTCTGACTAACTGCAAGGCAATAGTGCCAACGAATTTCCTCGCATGGCTCACATCTCCACCGCCTTTCGAGAAGAAAAAGCTGGCTCCAAGTTGTTCCTTATCCAAGAGTTTTCGTGCGATCGTACGGGCGATTGTAGACTTCCCTGTACCTGCCATGCCGCTCAACCAATAAACATACTGCTGATCATCTTTACTAGCCCATTTTAAAATATCTTCTTGAATATTTCTCCGTGTCTTGGAGTGACAGGTCGATTCTCCTTCGCTCGTGGATGAATTGAATTCCGCGTTTACTGCGTGTGAGAGAAGTTTGAGCGGACTTTCGCTACCTATATTATATTAGTATCCTTTAAATTTCAATTTCCAACAGTTAGATATCGACTCACGATTGTTATTATATTGATGTTTGATAGTAACATCTAAGTATAAGTGATTAGTTAAACAATCATACACTATAGATAAGTTTTTATACTATTATTTCCCCCAGAAGAAGCTTGCATTGGCCCTGTCATAGCACCATAATTATTGCCCACATTCGTGGATTTCTGTGCTGTCATCTCTTCAATATCGAAATTTCACTCTCTTCAACAATATACAGCTGTAGTAGTTGTTATATCATGCGTTGATACGATATCAAGGGGTCGATGCTTTCAATAGATTTATAAATGAAGTCATAAGAAGTAACAGACCCCATCTCACTTTGACCTAGTACTAAGTCCACACCCCCACATATCGGACACCCCCACATTTCGGACACTTCAAAAACTGAATTTATATACATTTCAAACTTCAATTATTCAACGAGCCTTGAACTTCAATACAATCGCCTGTAGAATCACTATCTATAGTAGTAGAGGATTCATTTCCATCAATTTCATGATCTCCAGCTTCAATTTGAGCCTCTTTTATAGCTTTAATCCCTACAAACTTCGAATTTGGAGACGTTCGAACTTTACGTCTTTTTCTGGGAGCAAGTTGATCCAATCGATATTCTAACTTCCTGATCCTATTCTCCATCTCTAAGAGTTTATAATCCTTGATATCGAATCCCTTTGTAATCTTGCGAAATAAGAATCGTTGTGTTGCTAAATTCAGGGTTTTATTCTGAATTATTGTATCTTTATATTTTTGGATATCAGATGCTTTATAAGGAGTTTCCCATAAAACAAAAGATGATTCTATATCCAATTGAATCAGAGGATTATAATTAACCTCAGAATTGGATAGTAGAACTTCGTTATTACTGTTTTTGAGTAGAAGTCGACTCATAAGAGGTTTAGTTATATTCTTAGGCCAAAGACCGCTAGCTTTCCATCCAGCTGTAATATTTTGAAGTGTTAAACCTTCTATTCTGGCTTTCTGATAGCAGGAAAGAAAGTTTCGCTTTCCAATTGGTGTAGAATCTGATAATAGATCTAATTGATTGAGTTTCTTTTATCACTATAAATAAATAAATAAATAAATAATGATTGAGTTTCTTTCGATATGCGTTTTTCAAAGACGAGAACACTGATAAATCGAGTGGTTGTAGTACATGTGACGTATGCGGTGGTAGAAACAAGAGATATATCTTATTAATGAAGCATTCTAACATGAATTCTGTAGTTTCATGGCTTCCGTGTCCGTCCAAAATAAGGAGTCTCCATTCTTCAGGATTGGAGGGGGCACTTTGAGGGATAAACACCTTTTTTAGCCACTCTAAAGCTGTACTGTTCGTAGTCCATCCATTTTCTGTAGCAGTAAATTGCCAGTTCTTATGCAGAGTGAGATCTGTAGGAAACCATTGTTGTTGTACTGATTTCCCTTTATATATAACGAGTGGATTAAGTGCTTTTCCAATAGCTGAAATGCATTCGATAAAAGACGTCCAAACTTTCGAACCAGGTTGCTTTTTCTGAATAAATCTTCGACTAGTACTCCCTACTACTAGTCCATTAAGTCCCTGACCCTCCATAATCCCTGCTTCATCCATATTCCATCTGTTTTCTGGCTTAATAGCCTTGATTTCAGGAATTAAGAGATATTGGAACCACTTCTTGATAATATCAGATGTAGCACCAAAGACTCGTGCAGAATCGACACAATATGACCTTTTGGTTCCAATAAAAGGATTCCGTTTGAAAAAGCTCTTTATCCATCTTTTTCCAACTAGTGAATCCTCTCCTCGTATAATGAGAAGGTGATTCGCTATATCTCTTATTTGCTGATGTGTTATACTAGTACCAAGAGATTCCTGTACTAATATCCAGTTTGCTAATAGTTCCTCTTGAATCGGAGCTATCTTTTACTGGCTTTGGGCACTTTCTTGATGCGATATACCACCATATATACGATGTGAAGTGTACTACATGATACACCATAATCCAAGCTAGCCTTCCTGATACTAGCTCCATTTACTATCGTTCTAAGTGCTTCCTGAAGATCATCTTTGAGGTAATCATTTTTCATTATATGAATATAATAATTTCAGAATTTCGAATCAATTGATCAAAGAATTGTAGAGTTATTGAAGCTCTAAATATAATAATGACTCAAAGCGGGGTGATTTTTGATGTGTCCGAAATGTGGGGGTGTCCGATATGTGGGGGTGTGGACTTATACAAGATAATCTGCTAATCGGACGAGAAGAATCATCGGAGACTCAGATTATGAAGTTTCCATTAATAGAACAGACTTGCGCAGTTGTGTGTCAATTAGTTGTGTGTCAATTGGATTCGATAAGATACGAATGTTATGCTATGCAGTAGTTGAACATTAGCTTTTAAAGGCGTCCAATGAACTATAGATACCCACCTTTTTTAGCTAGTCATGTATTCCACTTTGTAGGCTAAGATGTTTATCCTTTTAGCCGCCTTTTAACCGACTATGCGAGTATTAAAAATAAAGCTATTGAACCAATAGTAATTATATCGATAATCATATACCCCGCGTCAGCTCGAGCTGAAAGTTTTAGCCCTCTGACAACATGAAGGTACACACATGTCGAGCATGAAGTTATAGAAGAATCGAATGTTTTAATCCTGCTTATCTCTTTATATAATTGATAATAATCCATGCTTTCTAATTCTCTTTAAAAAGTAAGAACAGACTCCAAAGCCACAGCTATATTATAAAGAAAAATGGAGAATACAAAAACACCATTATCGAAAGAGGGGTTAAACTTACTATTCGATGCAGAAAAGAATGCGAAAGTAGAGTAAGTGTATATTTCAAAAGCCATTTAATTATATTATGCTTATATACTATGTAGTGTTGTATTCGTTCACGGCTTGATGGGTCATCCCAAGACAACGTGGGAAATCATCGACACCAACAACAACCCGATCGACCCAAATGAGACTATATATTGGCCGAAAGATCTTCTGCCAAAAACTCTACCAGAAAGTCGAATATTCTCATTTGGATATCCAACGCACTTTGCAACTTTCTATCCAATTGTTACTGCTGATATGATCGCTCATACAACAGTTGATCATAACTCTACAACTTTAGTAACCAAATTGGGAAATTTTAGACGAGAAACAGATACAGTCAGTAGCCTTGCACCAATATCAATTACTACGAATTTTCAAACCCAATGCTGATAAAGGAAATCAATAGGCAAACCGTCCAATTTTCTTCATTGTACATTCACTTGGGGGTCTCGTCACTGCCAATAGTCTTTCAGTTCGCTATGGTTCAGACTTTCAAAGCCAGAGTGTAGTAGACAACACCCGTGGCGTCATATTTCTCGGTACACCTTTCAAAGGATCATCCAAGGCAGTATGGGCCAAGATGGCCGAAAGGTTTCTTGGACTATTCAGCGACAGCAATGATCAGATTATCAAGGATCTCGACAAAGATTCCACCAAGCTTCAAGCCATCAGCCACGACTTTCACGTTCTACTTCAAGAAAGATATGCATCGAAGGAGCTCAAGCCGATTCAGGTAGCATGTTTCTTCGAAACGAAGCACACAGAGAAGAAATTGGGGAAGCTAAAAGTAAAGAAGGACCTCGGCCAGATTGTCACAGCTGACTCAGCGACGTTGGCTGGATACAAACCCATCGCTATCAATGCTGATCATCTTGCTATGTGCAAATTCCAAGATGCTCAGACGGATGGGTATGTCAGTGTCACTGATACTTTGAAGCTTATGATCTCGAGATTAGATGAAGATTATGACAAACTCAAGGTGATATCGAACCATTTCTACAACCATGTCAATATCCTTACTAAGTTAACCTCTCCAGAATGACGGCCGAACATCCATCCAGCTTGGAGACATCGAAAACCATGTTTCAACCAATTATGGATATCTTGGTGGGCATATGGTGGGTATGACGAAGGACGCGAACCGTGTCGTCGTCTCGCACAATGTATGTTTCTAATCCAAATCTCTTTACTCGAGGACAACACTGACCTGGAAAAGTTCGGAGTAGGTTATGGCCCTCTTCCACACAATCCAAACCTAGGAGCCTAGAATAATTCATACAATACTTCCTTGATTCAAGAAAGAGGCAGGAGCTGCAAGCATAGGAAGGTTATATCGATTTTAAGCTCGGTATTGCAGTGAGAGATTTATTAGAAAGCAATTTTTGTAGCCGCTCTATTATGACAATCACCAAGACTTTAGCGTACATCGCGTAATCATCTTGACTCATCATTGGTTATTGGGATTAAAGATGCTTGGGGAACGTAAACACTTAGTGTTTGTTTAATCTTGCAATAATTATATTTATAGTAAGTAGAAATGGTAACGTACTTTCATCTAGTTTCCTCCAGAGCCACAGTATTATCAGCCTTATTTACCCCATGATTAAGTCACAATTACTTTAGTGAAGAAAGATTTTACTATCTCCAAAAATTCCATGCATGTGGATCTGTGATCTAAAAGTGTACCTTTTGAAACAGAGGTTATATTTAAAGAATCTCCATCAAAAGCTACGGGAAAAAGTGGTTTAAGTACAGACTATGATTGATCACGTAACCGTCTCAACACATGATCTGAGGGGTTGCATCCTTACATTACCTTGTCGCTTTTTCTCCCTTCTTGGGCAAATCGGAAATAACGCCCAATGAAAGCTTTCAGATGGATACCAAAGGTTTCCTTTGATAGTCTTGATTGGATGATGAACATTGTGACTTGCGGCCTCGCCGGTAAATGGCCGGTGTGTCATGTCCGAATCGTACTCTAATGGGCCCGAGACACTTACGCGTGTCAGTCTAGTTTTTAGACACTTTAGGCTCCCATAGTTCATCAACAATTTCGCTCACAGTCTTTCCAACATTGTTACATAGTGCCATTAATGAGAAAAGGGTACATAGTTTAGATGGCATATTCATTATGCAACCCAAGATTCTTGACACTCATTTAGGTGATTAAGTAAGTTCGACTTATCGACATACAACAGCCCTCTCGACTTAACATGGAAAAGCCATGGTTTAAATTCCGAGGACGACAATGTAGTTTCTCATTTGGCATGCGGAAGTTCCCGCTTGATGAAATGACAGAAAAACGCCTCTACGTAAGCGAAGAACAGGCCGGGATTGGAACGTTTTTTTTTTGACACCTTATTTTGGTGATGTACACAGTATACTCAATTTCGGCCTGTTGCTTCGCCTTACGGTAGGATACGTCATCGATTGACAAGATATTCGTAGCCAAAACGTGTGTGAGCTTAATCATCATTATCGATCTCTGTGGCAGAGACGATATGATATTCAACCGAACGAAAACCCACCGAAGACGAAATGCCAAGAGGGTGCACGTGGGCACTGGTGGGGTGTACAAATAGTCAATACTTATTCGAAGCCACGTGAAAGCCTAAACTAAGAAAATTATCCCACATCTTGGCGTCCTTAAACTTTCGATTGTTGAACCTACGGAAGTCGCATGCCTTGAATCCAAGGCTCAAGCACCTCCAGACAGCAATAATTACCGTATTAATTGGTTCATAGTATAATATTTAGTTATTAGTCATACTGGATTAGTGGACCATGTTCTAGGTTAAGAAAAGATTTTTTTTTGGCTCATAAGATAATATTGATAAAATTATAGGAAATGCCTCATTTAATGACCCCTCATTTTCAACTCTTTTTGAGAGCTACAAAAATAGACTAGAACTAAAGCTACAGATTCATATCCTCATCATTATCACTCTCTAATTCATTCAAATCAAGAGATTGATCTGAATCTGTATCTTCTTCAGTACATGTTGTCGCCTCATTATCTGAATCAAAATACCCAGAAATCCCAGCCTCTCTTTCTTCAAAAGTGTGATATGTTGCTGTATGAAGAGCTCTACGTCGCAAATTCATTTGAGAAGGGGGAAGAGTATCGAGCGAATGTCCATCAGTGATAATAGCCTCTTCTTCAACCTTCTCTGTAGTTTCAAGAGCAGGTAAGGAGTCTGTCACGGTGGGGGTAAGAATTCGACTATAATCCCCAATTTCAAAATCTGGTAAATCTCTTATTTTGAGCTCATGATCTTCACTCCCATTGGGATGAAGTGAAAGATCAAGCTAATAAACATTAGAATCTTATTGAAATAAGAGAAAATATATGAAAGACTTACCTGTCTAAATGTCTTGATAATTGTACCCTTATTCTTTTGATGAAGCTCTTCCCAGGCATTCCCAACCCACTGAGTCAATAGAATCCGACGATCTGAAGTTGTGTAAGTTCCAGCTCTTCATTTATCAATATTCTCATCATAATGCTCCTCTTCATAATTTCTAATCAAACCTTCAAAGGCTTATTGATTGAAACATCAAGAACTTGAAAATATGCTGTAGTTCCACCAGGGATAATGGAAGTGGTGACATTAAGCTCTTTTAGAATTTGACGCAAACGTAGAACTTCAAGATCAGCTTGCTCTCGAATTTGACGTTGAGATGGGGACTCTTTTTCAATCTTTTTGCGCCCCTGCCCTTTATGAGCAGCAAAAGAATCAAGAGTTAAAAGACGAGGTTCTCGATCTGATGCTGATTCTGCTGTTGAGTGTTTATATTGATTTTTAAACCAATTTTAAACGCTCTTTAGTATTGCAATACCCTTTAGGATTGAAAATGACATCTACTCCCTTATGATATTTTCTAGCTTCAAGCTTACGAGAACTAGAGCCCGCCCCTTCAGCACCCTTAAACATAAGAAGTGGTTTGCATCGAGGGACTCCATCTGCAGAAACTAGAATCTGAAGAGTAGCTTGTCGCTTATCCCAGCCCCCTTTACCCCCCTTTAAAAGAACTGTGTTATTGCCTGTATGATCGTATGTGCGCTCAGATGATCCAAATTCGAAAGCAAGTGGAGTTTGATCCATATTCGTGATATTTGAAAGTAGAAATCGACCTGAAACATATAAAATATTAGTAAATTTGAATGAAATGCGGGGTAAATGCGGGGTAAATCTTACCAATTCTAGGATTTTCTTCAGATTCATTCTGAGGTTTTCCAGCATCCGAATCAATATTTCGAATAGTATTTCTTCGATTGAATTGACACCAGCGTTGAATCACTTCTCGAAGCTCTTCAGGAGCTTTCTGTGCACGCTTAGTTCTACATCTTAAAGAGATGCGATATCATCGAAGGAAAGCAGTGAACCAAGAGTTTGAAAACTTAAAATCAAGATAAATCCATTTCGTAGGGAGAGTGTCGGTTTGAATGACTTTCGTAGGATAAAGCTTTCGATAAAGCTCTTTTGCATGACGAGTAAACCATCGATGTGTAATACGCTTCCCAATAGTTCTATGAAAACAGAATAGCTCGTAGAGGACGCTCTTCCATTTGAGGGTGTGTACATCGTTTGTTATTGTATGATCTTCGAGAACCTTTTCGAGCTGATAATATGGAATTTTCATTGGTAATCCATCTGGAAAGAAGGGAGGGAGTGATACCAAGCTTTCCTGCTGCATAATAGATGCTAATAGGGGAAGAGAGATCATTTTTGTCTCTTCTCCACGTATAGCGATGATATTGAATAGCTCTAAGCTTGAATTCGCGTGGGTATGAAGATCGAGCTTGTAGGGAGTGATCGCCTTCTTGATTTCGAAAATGTTCGAAAGACTTTACTATAGCTTGCTCATTAGAGCCATCAATCCAATGCCTTCGCATACCATTTATCAAGGGGGGGACTTGAATATTTCGAATATTAGGTTTCGCTCCTCGGCGTACTCGAGTTCCATTGAGGGTTTCAAAGAGTGTAGTTTGACCCAATTCAGGCTTAGATTGGAGAGGGTGCCTAGAACGAGGTCTACCAGAATATTTGCGTTTGTTAGCTTCATGAATTTCAAAACGAAGCTGTTCAGAGGGTGCGGGTGAAGACATAATGAGGGGTAAAAGGGGAGTAAAAAGGGGGGTAAAAGGGGGTAAATTGAAGATTTTGAAAAGAATCGAAAGCTTAGTATTCGAAAGTTTGAAGAGATAAAACTGAATAGAATGAATTGAATAGAAAATATCAAGAGAATGGACTCATTTATAGGAAAATCGAATCAATATTGCTATTGAAATCACTCGAAACATTTTGGGTTGATTCTCGAATTCCGTGCCTTTTTCATCTGATATTCCATTGAAATTCGCAAATATAATCCAATCAATTTGAACACCCCTTTTCGAATGTCTTCGAATAAGACAAAAAGAGAAACAAGATACAAAAAGCTTGCTGTCGACATATGTAGAAAAAGCTATGATTGGCTACATTAAAGCCTTTGATCAAATTTAGCTTGAATTTCTTCGAATTTGATTGAATTTCCCATGCCAGACAGGTGAATTTCTTGTTTTCTGTAAGGGAAAGGAGGTATGTACATATTTCTATTGAATTCGAATAGAAATAGAGACAAGGGAGTATGAAAGATGGAGGAGGCTGGAGGCATTTAAGAGAAAGAGCTGAAATGCTTTGAAAAGTGATGCAATTTATGATTAACCTGGAATATAAGGCATTGTGTGTCGCATAAGAACACGTCCAATCTTACCAAAAATCAGATTTTTTGGCTATAAGATATTATACTATGAACCAATTAATACGGTATTAATTCGATAAAAATGCAACTTGGTTCTGTCACTCTATTTCTCTATTACTCAAAGTCTAGTGTAAAAAAATGTAATTATTAACGTGGGGCGAGACTTGTCAAACTTCTGAAGAACAATTTAGTTAAAGATCACATGATAACATAGATAAACTCATGATGTGTTATTGATGACCTCTGTACATTAATCTATCAAGCTGCAACATGGCAACTGTAATAGAGGCTACACTAGTCATCTCCCCTCCAACTGATGAGATTTTGAACCTAATCCATACAGCCGCGATAGACATTCTTGACGATGTGAATGCAGCCACAGATATGCCATTGACTGCACTTGCACCACGAGCAAGCTGTCAAGAAGTTGAGAGAGAGTTTCTGAATATTCACCGGAGACTTGTTTGTTGCCCTCAACTCATATAATAAACCTACTAATATATATCCATTTCAGATACGCCACGGATATAACTCAGCTGTCAATCGAATCCTAGACCCAATACAAATTGACCCCGATGGATGGGACCCGCAAACGTTTGTGATGTTCGAGGGATCATTTGGTATCCCACCTAGAACACTAGCTATTATCATACCGATTTATAAAGAGCGAGAGCCGCTGATCGAGTTCCTTTTCGAGGGCCAGGTCGTTACAGTCGATTGGATAATCGGTGCTATGATATATATGCGGGGAAATTCCTCTTTGGCTTCGGATGGATGCGGGAAGACTGCTTTTATTGTTTTCCTCTTCAAGACCAAAATATCTTGAAGGATCGATTCTTCGACGAATCATGATTGTGGCAAGATTTTCGCATGTCGAGGGAAGAGTAAACAGGAGGGGAAAGTGAAATTGATAGCCCTTTGTCATGTTCTCGTTGAGGTTAATGCTGTTTGATTGTGCTGTTTATGTATTAGATTTGTAGACCTTGTTTATAGGTGGAAACTTCTAACTCACGGAACTTCCTCCTCGTTCGAACTTCCCCTGGACAAATGATAGTGCTACAGGCAGCAAGCTGTGGGAACTTGTGCCAGTATAACTTGTATTCGTTAAGCCTCTCAATCCTATCCACATCATATTCTAACTCTCTAAAAGCTCCTGAAAATATCTCCAATGCTATCTTGTTCGAATGGTGTCTATAGGCACATCGTACGTGCTTTCTTAGTCGGTCAATCACTTTTGACATATCGCGTACCTGTATACCATTATGCGATGTCCATCTAAAAGTACAGTCAATACACCAAATCAAGAAGAAGGCAAGCCTGGGAGGAGGGAACGTTTACTTTGACGAGTCTTGAGGATCAAAAAAAACAAAAATCCCAAATGAATTCTTTCCAAACCCCGCAGATTGCCCCCTGCTTCCAAGTTCCTTGAAGAACCTATCACATCTTATTACTGCTGTTACTTCAATCTCTGCAAGGCCAGTATGACTAGATGCTCGTTTGAGCATCGCTGTCTTCCGGCCTTGCCCTTGCGAAGTTTGAGTTTCTCCTGCAACCATTTGTTCCATCATCACACCAATCATGCGTCCAATCACAATGATTGCCGCACATTCTTCCCAACTACGATATTGCTGCCTTTGTAAAGCATGGTAGCTGCGAATCAAGTGACAGAAAAGTTCAAATGAAGAGAGTCTCCGAGGTAGATTAATCAAAGCAGCTCGGATTGTCTCCACGATGATAGGTTTGCTGAAGACCCATCTGAAGTATTGTTCGTTGTGATTTATCGAGATTATTTTCGCAAGAGGTTTAGCTCGATCAGGGGGTATAATCAGAGTTGTGTGGTTATGATACTGAGGGTCCATTGTAGCAAGCGAAATGTGGTGATGTTGAGATGGTAAGGTGTTTGAGACGGTAGAAGAATGCCGAAGAAGAAAAGTAGAGTGTAGATGATGTGGTGAGTGGCAGGATTGAGATTAGATTAGGTTATGCATCAGTAAATAAGCGGTCTCACAGGTATCTTGTCAACTGGAGCGCTGATCTTGGAGAAATACGAATACACAAGGAATTCGGAAGGCGTATAAAGTATGAGCATGGATGAATGACCAGGGGTTTAAGAGGTGCATAAGGATTCGAAGAGGCATAGTACACTCGCAAGCGATTGAACTCAAACCCCAGAGATGTCACCCGCATGAAATTTAGCGCTCTTCAAAGCCAAGCAAGTATTGATTCGTGGATATACCTCAAGATGGAGTGAAACGATATATGCAGGAGCTTTAATCCATCGTATCGACGTCCAGGGGTCCAGGATGTAAGAATCTTCCATTTTGGTAATACATTATTACTTGATTCATTCCCTGCCGTTCTTCTGTAAAAGCATGGATGGATGACTGGGGGTTGAAGAGGTGCATAAAACAACAGCAGAAACGAAAGGGGTACCGAAGGTATACTAGTTATCTGTTTCAACAAGTTATTTCAGATTGCAGAGCCATCACAAAGGATGTACATCGTTGTCCGCTGATAAATCAAATCACTATATCTAAATAACGGGAAGTTGAATTACCAGTACATTTGAATGATAGAAGTAAAGATGGTAGATAAGTCTACAGCCGAAGAAAACAGTTAGCCTACAGATACTGACTATGCTTGAAATGGTATCTGGTAGGATATGATCAATCATATTCTCGTTTCCGCGCTTATTTCGCTATCACCTATCTAATTTATTCACTTTTCAAACATTCATCCACTGATGGTATCCAATGATTGCATATGTCCATAACCTCCTTTTTGATGATCAGAATGTCGCTACCACGAGGATCTGATAGGTATATCTAATACTCATGCATACAAAATGACCTTGTTGCAACCCTCCTCCTACAATATTTGCTATTCCGGACTTCTATTTGGTGTAGGTACAAGCATAATATACGTGTCAGGGAAGTGCACAAAGACATTAAATTGGGCTGAAAAGAGTCTTATTGGTCGAGGTAGATGGAAGATGGTTACTTTTGAATTTCATTGAACGCTCCCGGCCCACCCATTGTAGTCAAGGTTAAAAGATAACAAAATGGCCACCTACTTGAATTTTAACAATCTCCAAGGGTGCTGGGAAAGGGCAGGCGCGTTAGGGTGGTGATGTCTAGGTATAAGACCAGGGACAATACTAGCATCGGCTGGAATCATGGGCTTGAAACCTCAAAAGCTGATAGAAAAAAACTACCAGGGACCTCGTAACCGGCTGTTATACTCCGGTTATCTCTTCATACAACTCAATGAACATGACCACAGGAATTGCGAATCATTTGCCAGAGCCAATGCCTTCAAAGCCGGCAAGAAAATCCAGTATCGCCACCTCGCTTAGCACCCCCTTAACACATTGCCATATCCGTTTGACTCCATGATGCACCTGTTAAACCCTCGTCACGTATACAGTAAAGTAATATTAGGGTAGGAACTGCATTGGTACTTCCCTAACCCCAGCGGCATGCATATAATGATCCTATTTGAAGCAACAAGGTCATATTGTAGGATTTCGTCATGGGCTCAAGAGAACTGGAAAGCCTAGATTGCATGAACTATTACCAGGGTGGAATATGATAGACTTCACACGTCTCTAACCAACTTATGAGATACTAACTTATATGCAATACGTCAATATGTTCCCTTGAGTCGCAGGAGGTTCTGATTTCTTGTGACACAACCTTTCTTTCGTGTATTTTTTGTGTTTATAACTGAGAGAAATCCCATATTGAAATATTTCAATGTAGCTTCTCATCAACCTTCATTGAATATCTCACTTTAGCCTCCCAATACTTTATAAGCCCGAGCAAACTATCAAGTTACCAGCGCCGCTATGGATCCGAACACCAGTACCACTTCGGAAATTGACCCACAAACTGTTCAAAAAGTATGCTTTTCTTTAATTCTTGGATACCTTGATCCAATTGCTAAATTGAATACCCACAGAAAAAAGGGCTTGGATATTCCAATATTCGATATACTCCTCTATTGGCACCCCTTACTGGCGCTGAGAACAAGACTGGTATGCTTGTGATTAAGAATCCTTCAACCTTATACTGACATTTGATACCACACAGGTTTCGAGAAGCCCGCAAATTGAGAGACTTCAGTGTGTGATTATGGGAAAAAGGATTGACATAGAAGGATGTGTCTTTTGGCAAAAAGTCTAGCAGGCGTACATTTGTTATGTGGAACGTGGTTGAAGAGGGGATCTTGAACATTTACTTATTTACTGTCGTTACGAATACTTTCTTGAGAACATGAAGTATCTATTTTCAACAAATATATTACTTCTTAGCAATACAAAATAACATTACTCTTAACAATCATCCCGATCTGCTTGCGTCCATTATGTCCATCAAGTTTATATTTCAATAAAGGTTTTGTTCTATGAGCTCCAAGTTTCCATTCACCCTTTAGCACAAATTTGATACGGACCCCAAATTATTCCAAGTCAAAAGCTTTTGAGTCATACCAAGAAATGTTTAGTATTTTTCTTCTAGTGTGAAGATCACATAGGAAAATCAAAAAAGGGGTGTCATTGCAACAGTGAGAATATATATCGTGTATTTCTACTCTTAGAGGAAAGAACTTAAATATCGACCACCTACCAGTCCACCACCCAGTGTATAAAGCGAATAAATATTCTGGCAAGACCTTTCATCATATCATAAGTTATCTGCCAGAGAAAGAAGAGAACATTCCTCTCCCATGCCAACAAAGCTCTACCTTCCCATGTGCTCCCAATAGACTCATTTGTGAATGCCACTTCCCCTGCACAGGAATACATGCTATCTGTATTTTGAATGATCCAATATTCGTTCTTGCGTTCTAATTGAAGGCGACGAAAGCCACCAGCTGACAACCAAAGTGTTTGTCTCCATAATGCCAAATATTGATCCCACTGCCCCATAGAATGTATAGTTCGAAGAAGCAAAAGGTGCCCAACAGGATGCAGCATAACGAGGTTTGTTGGAATGCACAAATGCTGGAATGCCACTTCAATAACGATGATATGCTGGCTAGGAACAATTTTGTGAACTTTCAAGGAAACGTTGGCAGACATTCCTTTGTGTGCACAAGGGCTGCAAGGTAAACTTTGCATAAGCGTTGGTAGAATTGATGAAGGTGTTGACGGAGGAGATGAAAAGGGGGAATATCATGGTGGAGGGGATTGTGTAGAGTTTGTGAAGAATGAAGGCATTGCAGGATTCTGAAAAGATCTTGCTCGAGATGTTGATTCATCAATGTAAGCTGGCTGAGGATAAACTATTGCATTGCTTGATGAACAAACATTGTCTACAGGCGAATATCTTCTCTGAGCTTGCTGGATCGAAAGACACCCATTTTGACGTAGAAATGACGGAGTGATTGTAAGTGTAGGTGGAGAAATGGTAGGAGTCGGTGGAGAAATTTCAAGATGTGCTGATGAATGATGCGACATTGCAGAGAAGCCGAAGAAGTTAAAGAGGATATAAGAAACGAGTATACTTGATAAAGATTGCGAAAGAACTACCTTAAGAAGTTCTCAAAGCAAGAACGTAATATAACGGGCATCGAACAATTTTTATTCCCTGGAGAGAGAACAACAAGGGGCCAGAGTCGGAAGAAGCGGCATTTGCAATAAGAAGAGATGTAAGATGATATTTTGAGCATGAATTATCTTGTCACCAGGGGCTGTTTCCCCTGCTGAAATGACCACAAAAGGATCCAGAATCACTTTTCATGAGTCTTCGCTTGTGTTACATCATCAAGTTCTCCTCCCTTTGACATACAGAATCTGCCCTTCCAACGGCGGTATCTAAGCCTGTAATATCTCAATGAGCATCTAGTGAACCCACAAACCCCTCCAAGTACTTTTCGAAAAGCCATGACGGGATGTTAGTGTAGGGGACAGTAGTCCACCAATGGCTAGGTGATGGTTAATATATCCTAGCCATTCACAATGCCTGTCAGACTCTGGTATGCATGAAAAATGTGAAATACATTGGTTCTATGCAGTTCACTTTAGATACCCCTTGCAAGTGTGCTTTCCATCCCACCCATCCCAATCTTCACATGCCGCCATTCCCATTATCAACAACAGTCACTTAATCGAAATCGAACACCCAGTAACACCCATGACATAAACTTTCCGCCCATGGCGTCTTGCGACATTTGTGGTCACATTTCTGGCATTCTAGATACCGATATCGAACGCCATTGATCTTTTGGAAGTGACTTATGTCGTCGCACTAAGAAACATTCATTAGGCATTAGAAACTTCGAATAAAGCTGCAAGTTAATTCACCTCATGAAACTTAAATCCAACTATTACACTTATATGAAGAGCAATATTCGAAGCCTCGATTAATTCATTGTTGTTGGGGACCTTGTTATTGAAGACCTCGTTATTGGAGATCTCGTTGGGGATCTCGTTGGAGACCTTGTTGAGTGTCTCGACTGGCTGTTCAATAAACATACTCGGATATGTGAAATGAACATAAAACGAATTCTTATTGATGTGAAAGTATAGAAGATGAATATTGTAATGACTTTTTGGATCAGTTGTCAATTTGAGAATCACTTATCCTTTTATATTGCACGCACACCTACATTTTCTCGAAGGATGCAACTAATTGCATATTTGATAATTACCTTGAATTTTGAGTAAATGGCTATGTAAAGGAATTGGAGTCGACGATAAAGAGTGTGAAAGTACCTACTCCATATAATCTCAAGCTAACCTTTTTCGTAAAAGACTTGGAAAATTGATGAAAATGATTTATTAGCTTGAGAAATATCCCTGCAAGAACCCTCGGACTTCCTGGGGTTCTAAGCGAAGATCATGCAGCGTCAGCAATGCTGCGTACATAAATATCCTAACCTTCTTCGTAAACTATTCGGAGAGTGAACGAAAACGAATCAGCCCAAACTTCTACGAACTTCTCTCATTATTTGAATATGCCGGTCGATATGTATACCGTTGGTGACTTTATGCAACATATGGAATATTTTGATAAAGCACAGGAATTTGAAGGTTTATTGCGAGTGAAGGGGGTGTGTAATTCCCACTTATTTGAATAGTGACAGAGATGTAATTTGATTCGCAGTTTACAAGCCTTATTGTTGATTTCTACACCTCCTTTTCAGCAGAATCGAAAAGTATAGTTCAAGAATTAGCTCAAGAACTTTCTCGCAAGCCCAACCAAACCAAAAACAAGCAATGGAAGGGCCGTGCATTAACAACAATTATCAATGTTCAAAATATCACTCTGCCTGCTAGCATACAATATCAGTATGAAATATGGAAGGGAAATCCCGTACAATTCTGGCGATCTATTCAGAATTCAGGATCTACACAGTCAATTGAGGTTGCTGCTATTGAAGCATATCTCATAATGCAAGATCTCCGTTTGCGACAAGAATACGATATTATTCTTTGGAGATTTTATGTCACTTTTTTTTATCAACTTGCATTGTTGATAGGACATGGGCAAAAAATGATGACGAACAATTTACATAACATTCTTTATGAACGATTGGGCAAAGTATTCATACAATCTGAGAAGATAGCTGATGAAGTGGCCACTGTTCAAGCAAATTTACATCATTGGGTTGATGCTGGATTCAAATATAATAAAGTATGCACAGCTCTTGACAAAGGCGCTTTATTTTTGATTCCACAGGTACCAGATTATATGTAAGATAATGTTATATTTATTCTTGAAAGATAATTTACTAATCACTTCGTCTAGATGGGAGAACTCAAACTCGCTGAAAGGCGGAGAGTTTGATGAAGCTATGGCTCATCTCAAATCCATAGGCATTATGGAATTATCCAAACACCTTGGGGCGGATGTTTTGGCCAGTCAAATTCTAGATTCCGTGCTCGGTCCATTCCGATGGGAAGTTTATGATGCCGCAGATATCGCTGCCAGTCTAAATACCAAGCCAAAGCCCTTTTCTGGTGGTCCATCCGCTAGGGGCCCATCCGCTTGGGGTTCATCCGCTGGTGATCCGTCTATTAGGGGCTTATCCGTTAAAGGTCTATCCGTTAAGGGCCCATCTGCTCGGGGTCCATCTGCTCGGGGTACATCTGCTCGGGGTTCATCAATTAAAATCCAATTTGCTGGGAATTCATCTACTGGAGGTTCATCCGCAGAATCAAGACCTATTGGTGCCAGCCCATTCATCGAAGCAAGGCCTTCTGATCGCAACTCCATTTCAATATCCTCTATGTTAAACCCAACAGAAGCGGCGCAGTCCTATGATAAGGTAGAAGGTTCAGATATACTAGTAAATCTAGAACCTGACAAGGAGGAAAGAGATATAGATTCATCATTGAAGCCGTACAACTCTGGCGAGAAACGGAAACGTGTTGATTCAGTAACAGCTTCTGATTCAAAAACGGATTGCATACCACCGCAGAGCGTCTCTGAACGGCGGTCCCTCGTAGGGTTGTGCCCGGTGGACAGGAATAGAATGGAGAACATTCTTGGAAAGCGCCTTGTTGATGGTATGATGAGAAGCCGAAAGAGGCTTCGAGATGATAACCACCAATTTACCGATGCTATTCGAGTAATTGCTCCGTTTTCGGATATCACTCAGGATTTTATATACAAAATATGGATATGCTCATCCGTTGGAAAGGATATTTCAGAGATCATTATGAGAGGATGCGACGACTTGAGAGAGCTATTCCCTGATATAATTTTGAATGGTATCGAAACGAGCCTTTATAGACAAGAAGAGGAGAGACAGAAAGAACCCGGAAGTCCTTATGGTTTCAAGATATTTCCTTACAGCAATAATGATGATGATTATGAGGTGGAAATAAGATTGGGTTTCACGATTGGTCAAATTGTTATGTATACCTTGTATAAGTACTAAGGTTTTATAACCAACTTAAATCTTTTAACATCTGATACCAGTACTGACCATCCACCGGGAAGCTCATAATCTTCTTGAGGTACATTGGTATTGAGATGCGTAGAAATCACACCCCCTGTTCCAATGCCTATATAGCTATGATCAGAACTGGATGCAGCTTCCCATGACATTAATCTAGGCTGATCAATATCCTCAAATGTGTGCCATGGGATGTTTTCGTAATCCCCACCAGTTGTTTGGTTGCCCTAAAATCTCCCTGTTAGAATCGGACTTTGAGGTGACGAAGGGAGGCTGTACATCAGGCATCGCGATAAGCTGGATTTCAACGAGTTGTTATTCTCAGGTGTGCGGTAGTGTTTCTAGCTATTTTAGAAGTCAGTAATTAAAATGAAAATCTCAATAATTATACGCACATATTGTGTTCCCTATCATAGAAAGAGAGGTGCTAAGGAAATGAATCGGGTTTGGATGATGGTGCAAATGTGGAGCCAAGACTTGAGGTTATTCAATCTAAATACACCATAGTTAGCAGATCAGGATGCATAGTAGAATAGAAGCAGGATATTTTCACTTGCATCGGGCGTTTTCAGCAAAGAAGTTCCGAGAAAAAAGGAAGGGAAAATAAGAAAAGACGAGTCGAACAACGACTAAATAATATAATTAGAAGAGGATGAGGCTCAACAGAGGATATAACAAGGCGGACAAGGCTAGAAATTAATGGTCTGTCAAATGACCAAAAGTGGTTACTACCGCACGGTCTTTGATGATTGGTTCACTTGGGCTCAGTCCCACCACCTACACAGCCTGATGTTTGGTGAACAGATTTTCTAAATTGAATGAACCGATATTGACCGAGAATAAGAAGATTTGGTGTCATTATATTCTCTATCTCTCACAGGATTTATTCTTCTGGGTTGGTTTCACCTTATCTATTTATGGGTGAGAGTGATTTGCTTACGGAATAAGTTTGTTAGAGGGGCTCATTTCATGTACGATTAGTACTTAGAGAAGCACGATTCTAACTTTAAAGATATCTATTGGTACCTAGATGCCGGTGATTTGCACCCCGTTTTCAGCGTCTTCCTCCCACTATTTTGCTACGAAGGGTTGAAGAAGATTTCTTCTTTGCAAGTAGATGATTCATATTATTCTCTGGCTCAAAGTATTCGTTCGGCCAGCGAAGTTCCTTCGTCCAATATTCAAGTGGGTCGATCTTCTTGCAGGCTGTATCCTCCGTGTGAGGTTGTGAGGTCGATGACCGGAGCCGTTTTTCAAAAGGAATAATAGAAGGGGTTGTGGCTTCGTTTTGTGACCGTTTTCGCTTTAATTGACGATTCTCGATCTGTGAAAATTTAATGAGTTAGATTTGTAGTGTATCAGAATAAGAATAACATACTTTGATGCCAGGAGGATTGCTGATTGGGGAAGGAAATGGTTGTTTGATCTTGGGGAAATAGCATCTTTTCTAGATGTGCGTTCTTGCGAGAAGGGGACTGCTGTCTTGAATATTGCTGTCCAGCCCTTTGCAAATTATGTGTCGATGGAAGACTTGACGTGGTGGTTGAAAACTCGTAAACTAGTTTGACGGGAACGGGAACGGGAACCGGAAAGAGACATCCGTAGACAGGCATTCGTTCAAACAGTATTCGTCATTCACAAGATAGTAATCAGCATCAACCGGCAGACAGGAGAGTTCTGCTAGTCAGATCATTATCAGTTGCCAATGAAAATATCTAAACTGATACCAAACGACGGTTGTGTGATAACACTTGTCATTGAGCGCTACGGACTTTCGGCAATTTCTTTTCTTCAGAAGTCCGATTCGGTCTTGTAATAGTACGAAAAGTCAAAATTTTAATTCCCTCAATGTCTTACAACTTCACTTGTGCATTAGGTGGGTACTTCTCCTTCTTTAGAAGTCCGACTCGGTCTTGTGATAGTACGAAGAGTCAGAATTTTAATTCCCTCAGTGTCTTACAACTCCACTTATGCATTAGGTAGGTACTTCGGCCTTTCTTTAGAAGTCCGACTCGGTCTTGTCATAGTACGAATTAATCGAATTCAATACTCCACTTGTGAAAGAAAAATCTGTGCCTGATTATTGCCTGCACTATTGTATAGCCTCGGTTATTGATATGCTTACTAAAAAATTCATTAATCTACGAATAGTTAGTTATCTCTTCTCCAGTCTTCTATCTCTATTTTTACTCCATCACCATCGCCCATCACTCATCACCATCGCCCATCACTCATCATCATCACCCACACCATCACCATCACCCATCACCCATCACCCATCACCCATCACTCATCACCATCCATCACTCATCATCATCACCCACACCATCACCATCACCCACACCATCACTCATCACCCACACCATCACCATCACCCATCACCCATCACCCATCACCCATCACTCATCACCATCCATCACTCATCATCATCACCCACACCATCACCATCACCCACACCATCACTCATCACCCACACCATCACCATCACCCATCACTCATCACCCATCACCCACCACCGTCGCCCATCACCATCGCACAGCACTGACATTCTATCCCTATCCCTCGATCTCTCTATCTTTATCGCACAATATCTATTACAAATCAAACTCTCTCTTATAGCGTGTTGTACACAAGAGTTGTATTTTTTAGCACCTGTTGTTTGGAACAGCCCTTCTAGTGGTAGTCTTTTCAATACCTGTTGATTGGAACAGCCCTTTTAGTGGTAGTCTTTTCAACACCTGTTGATTGGAACAGCCCTTCTAGTGGTAGTCTTTTCAGCACCTGTTGATTGGAACAGCCCTTCTAGTGGTAGTCTTCTCAGCACCTGTTGATTGGAACAGCCCTTCTAGTGGTAGTCTTTTCAGCACCTGTTGATTGGAACAGCCCTTCTAGTGGTAGTCTTCTCAGCACCTGTTGATTGGAACAGCCCTTCTAGTGGTAGTCTTTTCAGCACCTGTTGATTGGAACAGCCCTTCTAGTGGTAGTCTTCTCAGCACCTGTTGATTGGAACAGCCCTTCTAGTGGTAGTCTTCTCAGCACCTGTTGATTGGAACAGCCCTTCTAGTGGTAGTCTTTTCAGCACCTGTTGATTGGAACAGCCCTTCTAGTGGTAGTCTTCTCAGCACCTGTTGATTGGAACAGCCCTTTTAGTGGTAGTCTTTTCAACACCTGTTGATTGGAACAGCCCTTCTAGTGGTAGTCTTTTCAACACCTGTTGATTGGAACAGCCCTTTTAGTGGTAGTCTTTTCAATACCTGTTGATTGGAACAGCCCTTTTAGTGGTAGTCTTCTCAGCACCTGTTGATTGGAACAGCCCTTTTAGTGGTAGTCTTTTCAACACCTGTTGATTGGAACAGCCCTTTTAGTGGTAGTCTTTTCAACACCTGTTTATATATTAGGTTTTGTGAACCGCTTCTATCCTTCATCTTGTTCAAGGGCAAAGGCTGCTTTATAGCCTGGGTGGGTTGGGAATCATACCTAAAGTGTGAGCTAATATTATTTTTTATTGTGTTTATCGCTAATTATAGTTATAGGAGTAAATTATGTCGAATCCAACCGAGATTTTGATTGAGAAACTCAAACTTAAACTTATCCTTCGCGAGAGAGTGTTTATAAAGTGGGAAGATGAATCGGGTACACCTTGTACACTAGGTTCTCGTTCGAGGTGCAATGGGCAGAATCTCAACTTTTTTATAGGTATATACTATGATAAAGAAGGGCATCTTCACATTCACTTTTCTCTTGAAGTATCTATTATACTTGGAAACAATAAGCAGAAAATAGAGATGTTATTGATTGTTCCTCCTGATACCAACTTCTCAGATACTACTACGCCTCGTTTGATATCGAATATCGGTAGTTTATCTCGTCTCGATGCTTCTGCTATTCACGACGCTGGACTCAGTGATTCAGTACATGTTATTTGTTTACAATTCGATCTGATTACCAAGGGGCTTATTCTTACAAAGAAGAAGAACACTACAGCCATTAAGCCTCGGAATTACACCTCAAAAGAGTTGATCCGTGGCTTTGAATCTCTATCCGATACGAAAACATTCACTGTGTATATCAAGCCAAATGATTATGCACTAGTGGGTTTGGAAGAAGTTCGTAGTCGCTTAAGCAATACTGATATTCCTACCGATATACACACAATAAAGGAAATATACGTCGAGCAAATGCCTGAATTAGTGGAATGGAGCAGACTTTACCCAGTATCACTACTACCATCATACACTAAGAATCCTCAGCCATCTCCGGAAATACAGGTTCCCCTGTCACCAATCATTTTCGAACAGGACACGCCATTAATCACTACTATCAAAGCAGTGATTGCAGAAACACCGGGTCGAACTCCAATCAGCCCTACCCCTACATCGGTACATGGCATTTTCTCTCCTAGCCGTGGAGAGTTGTCGGATGGTGAAGTGAACTTGGATGATATGGAAAAGCATTCGAGATATATCGAGATGGATTCCGATATAGATTCGGATGAGGAACGGCTCGCTAGCCTCTATTCTCGGGAACTAAGTCAGCAACTCGCACACGATTCAAAAGTATCACAACTGCTTAGCTCGAAGTTGTTAAAATGGATGCAAACAGCAATACGAATAAACTCAAATATTCACGAACACAAACGTTTGATTACCAAGTTTTCAACTCTAGGTAATTGTATTCGCACATCAAATGCTACCGTATTTGATGCTACTTTACTCTGGTGTTCTGCATTGTTTTTCTATGATCCACTTGATTCTGATCCTGATAATACTCTCGGGTTATGGCAGGAAAGGAATTCATGGCTCATTTCAGATATAGCTAGGTTGATTCAATGGGCTAATAGAATGCAGCATGACGTCGAGATGAATTCGTTGTTAAAGCATTTTACAAAGCTGGGTGATACTGCTCGTACTGTTGCTTTGGACATTAGCTGCAACAAAGACAAATACTATGATCAGAAAAGTGCTTGTATTGTTTGTATATTGGCAGAGTTTGGCAAGCTGGGGGGTGGTAGTGGTGGTAATAGTGATAGCAAGGAGAACAACAAAACCGTTTGTCGAAAACGGAAAGGCTTGGGAGCTCATGGCACTACTTCCAAGCTAATCAAAATGTAATTCATTCAATACCAATCAATGTGTTCTATTTTCGTCTTCTTATCTTCTCATCTTCTCATCTTAATGCACTACAACTTTATCAGCCTCACTATGTATCGAGGAAGCATATACTATATATGTTTCAAGCGGAATACTATGTGCCAGACTTGATCAATCCTGGAACTGAAATGGCTAGGAAGGTTGTATATCATCAGACATCAACGATGCTACTTTTCCCTGTTTAAGTACCTCTAAAAGGGCATTCGAAATGGAGTTGCTGGTCTAATCAATAGCTGATGTTACAGGTTCAATAAGCTTAGTCATATGGCACACCGCGCTCATGTGACACCGCACCCACTTCCTTACTAAGCGCCGTTCCGGCGCCTCCTTCACCCATCCTTTGCTTCGTGATAGTATATTCTACCCTCCAAAGGTTCCGTTGCTATCCCGTAGCAATACGACCTGACAAATATCATATCAGAAAACCTCGTCATCGTCCTCGTCCTCGCGCCCCGCCCTCGACCCCACCTCGTCCACGCCTCCGCAACCATATCCTGCCCCATCATGGCCACCCCCAACAGCTCTGCCATCGGCTCACCGTCAGCCGTTGGCCCCGAAGAAATCCGCAACGACATCAAAACGGCTTTCGACTAGTAGCAATAGCCGACCTAGCCAGCCTAGAGGACCACGCCCTTCACCATCTTTCACACCATTACCCCGCTCCAAACGCTCACTTAAGATCAAAAGGACTGTACCAATCACCTATGTAGTACTATCAGCAATTCTTTTCCTTCTTCACCGTACAGCGATCCACCTCCAACACGAACTCGACACGGAACGCCAGCTGAAATCCGCAATGGAAAAACCAACTCCAAGCCCAGCTCCAATTGATACAAATTTTGCAGCGCAACCTGTCGCCGCAGTACAATGGCGACGATGGCATTCGCCGCCAGAACTCTAGAAACCCTGAACCATTTAAAGGGGAGAAGACAGGACCGATTCCCTGCCAAGAAGAATACACCGCTTGGAAACTCGGCCTGCAAATCTGTTGGGAGGTAGACCAGGCCTTCTTCGACACCGAGGCGGAAAAGCTCCTGCACCTCGTTTCCCTGATCGGCGGCCGGGCGCGGCAAGAGAGACTACTCGATATAAACGATATCGTTAATGGGGTCTCGTTCCATATTACTAGCGATTCCTTTAAAAAGAAGCTCAACACCCTCTAGATCGAATTAATACCTAAAAAGGAGCCCCCCTACTTCAAGAATCGCCCCCTATCACCATTGGAACTCGGCGTGGTCCGCAAGTGGATCGATGACAACCTGAGTAAGGGATTTATTCGCGAATCAAGATCTCGCAGCACCGTACTTCTATTACTAACCACAAAACCAGGCGGCGGAGTACAGATCTGTCAGGACCTTCAACGCTTCCTGGGGTTCGCCAACTTCTATCGACGATTCATACGAGACTTTTCCAAGATCTGCTGCCCCCTCAATGATTTGTTCCGTAAATATTCTGCATGGACCTAGGGTATCGCGCAGCGCGACGCTTTCCTCACACTACAGAATGTTTTCACCACGGCCTCGGTTCTCGCCTACTTTGAGCACAACAAGAAAACAGTGCTGGAAACAAACGCCTCCGACTATGCCTCAGGAGGCGTCCTCTCCCAATACGATTCAGACAATGTACTTCGACCGGTGGCCTACTTCTCATCAAAACACTCTACAGCCGAGTACACGAAAAAGAACTACTCACAATTACAAAGTCTATAAAGAAATGGCGCTCGGAGTTCTAAGGCTCTCAATATGAGTTCGAAATCCTCACGGACCACAAAAGCTTGGAGTACTTCACACCGACGAAAGCAATGAATCAAAGACAAGTCCGCTGGTCAGAGTTCCTCTACTAATACAATTTCCGCATTGTCTACCGACCAGAGACGAAAGCCATCCGACCAGACGCCCTCAGCCAGAAACGAGAAGACCGACCAGACCTCTCAACAGAGGATAACGAACGCCTCAAGAACAGTGAACACACAGTGCTGCCAACAGCCACATTCGACATTGACCTATACAATGAGCTTAAAAAGGGAGTTCGACTCGCCCCTGCAAACCTCGTTGTACCAACCTATGATGAACCAATCGACGCACCAATCACCAGGACTTACGAGAGATCCGAGATGACTCAACAGCTGAGCGCCGCGATAAAGAACTTCATCGTCCGGAAATGGTCAACGGGATTCAAGAAAATGCTGCGAGTCGCTATGCAGGACTGTATAGTGTCCGACAACAAGATCTATTACCGAAGCTGCCTATGGATTAAAATCCAGGTCATCTACAGAATACACTCCTCTGGCCCCGCAGGCCGCTCCGGCCGAACTAATACAATCGACTTAATATCCAGAACCTATTGGTGCCCCCAGATGCACCAGGAGATCGCTGCCTACGTTCAGGCCTGCGAACTCTGCATACGCACCAAGTGTTCCAAGTCAGCCCCACCGAACTTCCTCCGCCCCCTACAAGTTCCCTTCAGAGCCTGGTCGGATATCTCGATAGACTACATCACCCTGCTCCCCACCTGCACTTACTACGATTGTACTCATAAACACATTTCAGTCGTAGTATGCAGACTAAAAAATGAGACACTTCATTGGCATACGCACCTTGACGACGGACGAGCTCGTAGACTCTTTCGTCAGCCGCATCTACGCGCTACACAGTCTACCTGACAACATAATCTCCGATTGAGGAACGCAATTCGTGTATGTTTAATGATATCAAGCATATATTTATGATGCTATGAAGATGTATAGCACAGCTTTCATGGTCTCAATACCATCCATCTCAATGCCTCCTCTTTTACGAAAAACGCATTCTGACAACCCTTTAGAAAACATAAAAATAATATATCGATAAAAACAACTGTGAGTTTTCTTTCTCCAAGCGCCCTCCAAATATAAAATCGATCATGAACTGCAAACTATGACCAAGGCAGCTAATAACCATCAAGCGCAACCCCATAGTTCCTCAATTCCTGCAAAACATTTCTTCCAGTGAAAAATCGTTGTCTGACCGCAGGTCCAGATTGAGGGGGGACGATTCCTTGAAGAACATTTCCTTGATCATCTGTCACCTTGCAGTAGATTTCTCCCCTCTGAAAAGCTCGTCGAATCTCCAAGACAGCTTCACCCAAAAATCCCAGAGCAAGCAGATCGTCATCGGACTTCTGCGAGGTATCATAAGTCGTATACTGCCATTTGATTTGGTCGCCTTCCTGAGCTTCAGCTATCTTTACCCAGAATGCCCTACGCAAATCATTCAAAGCCTCATCTGCCCGGCGCTGTTGAAACTGATTGAGATTCGGAGAGGGTGCAATCTTGAAGTGATAAGTCACACCAGAACTCACTCCCATCATAAAGCACTCCGACTCAGGATTAACAAACGCTGCAAAGGTTTGAAAGTCTGGGCCGTCACTTCCGCAGAATTTAGGAGATCTTTGCATCACCGCCCACCAAAACTCGTCCAACATGCTGGCCAGGTCTTTGTCTGAAGCGACGTCAACGTTGTTTGGATCTGGGTTGATACGATGAACCATCGTGAATAGGTAGATTTTGACGTGTAGTGAAGCAGTAAGGACTTGTCAGGTTTCATTGATTATAGAGAAAAATGGATTTGCCAAGTTGAAAAGAAATAGATACGATTGAGCTTTGTTTTAAAGCTGTTTCTATCAGGGTGCGGGCAGTGATTGCAACGGGTGGGCTTCGCGTCAATTTTTCAATACCCGTCCGCAAGACATTATTAACGGAGGATTAATCAGAGATCCCAATACTCGTCCGTTGTGAGTGGCTCAAAACCCCCGTTCATACCCGCGGGTCCCTGCTGGTGCCCATGTTGAATATAGAAAGAAAAAGAAAAAACAAGTGGATGGTAGGGGGTGTTTGCAATTTGTATGTATTTTGTATACAAAAATCAAACACATCCAAAGTTGAGGGGGCTTAAGCCACCCCATATGGGATAGCTTCTTTCATCCCCATCGCCACCCGTATCCGCGGGTGCCCGTAGCCAGCCGTACCACTCAAGACACCCGTTGCGACCACTGGGTGCGGGGTAATTTAATCGGCTTTATGCAGGAAGCCGTGAATACAGTGAATAAATCATCAACACACATCCATGCCAGGAAAGGCAATACTAGAAAGTTGCCAATGATGTTTTTTTGAGGATATATTCGAAGGACAAAGGTATTCCATGTGATCAAATGATCTGTGTAGTCAGCACACGCGACAACTCCAGAATGAAGGCCTTCATTCCGCTTGATATCCTTGTCGGTGGCCCTGGTAAATTGTGATATGCTGAGAAGGAGTGGACGATAACCCAATGTACTGGAAGCCAAAAAATCTATGAAAGTAAGATTTATGGGACATTTCACAACGAAAGAAAATGCGGAGATAGAACAGGTGGAAACAACAGCGATGGCAGGGTAATAACAATATGCAACCTATCAAATAGCAAAGGCCTCATTCATTGCTTATCAATAACAACACGCAAACATTATTCCAACATTATGGTACAGCATATCACCTCCAACCGCATCACCTCCGACCGCATCACATCGGTAGACCATCCTTCGTCATTCAACCTGTCATTAGCGATTCCCCTATATACTAATCCCCATTGAATACTAACAACTGCCCAACCATAGTAATTGCCGTTAATCACCACAATAATCTTTCCAATTCTCGCATATGCGGAGTTGGGAACAGTTGAAAATCAGGAGTAGCTTTTCCAAGGTTTCCTTAAACGCATCAGGAATGGAGATGCTGCAAGATGTACTAGAACATTCAGAGGAGTTTGAATGGTATTTCGGAAAAGTTAGTTGATGGTGCTTCAAGTAACCAGAAAGCTTTAACTTTTTCTGTATTGTTCACACCCATAAGGTTGCTTATCATTATGAGCAAAACTTTGGTGTTCCTTTGCGTAATGAGAAACGTTAAAGATATCGAGACTCTTTAAATCTTTTGTTGCAGCCTGTTGACTGGCATACATAAGGTCGCGCGTTATCGTAGTGGTTAAGACGGTGTTCCTTCAAGCGAAACGGAGTTTTGAACTTTTCTTCGCATTGGTCGCATTGAAAAAGTTGACCGGTACTATGCTTGTCATTTAGATGTACCCTTAGATATCGAGCCTCTTTCTAGCTTTTTCCGCAGCCTGTTGACTCGCATATATAAAGTTTTGAAGCCTGCTCTGGCTCATGAGATGAGATGTCTTTTGTTCCATTGAAATCACATTGTTGATGCGCCGGGTCGTCGTAGATTGTGAGTCTTGGGGAAGACGTTCTTGTGGTCATAACGCTTTCAAATTCAATTGAAAACTCGGAGGGAGTTTGTGTATTCTCAATAAAGCGATTAGAGAAGGTTGAGTGTTGATGATTGAGGATGTGGGATTGTGGGTCATTCTCGAAAATATATAACGTAAGTCATGGCGTAATGCGTCTAATAACGTAATGCGTTTAATTGTGGGGGATCACTTTATCAAAAAAGCAACAATTTAATAATAGTCTGTTGAAAAAGTTTAAAAGTATAGGAAATGGAATCTCGATTTGTTGAAGCAGTATTAGGAATTCAAAATGGAAAGTATAAGTCTTTATATGAAATTGTAAAAGAATTAAGGTTTTTTAAAGATATTATAACACAATATATCACAGGATTTTCGTTTTACATTTATAGTTTATTTACACATCTTATATATTTACAACTACACTCAGGGGCCTCACAGGAGACTCCCACTATGCCGCCGGTGATGCGCGCCCCCGGCGCGCCGAGCGGCTCCCTAACCCAAGAGGCGATCCCCCCTCAACCAAGCACCATCTTCCCAGGGGCAAGCATTGCCCCTCCACCAATTGTAGGTTCGCTTGCAGGCTCTGCCCTCGCTGCAATCAAGAGTCGGTTCGAGTGGATCGACAAGACAGAGAGAGAAAACGGGAGGTGATCGAGGCGTTCGCAGCATTAGCGGACAAGCTCGCGCAAGGCTTTCAGGGCCAACAACGTAAATTCGCAGTGAATATCAAAGGAACGATCATCACCACACTATTGGGAACGGCAAAGGCTACTCCTGATCGATGGACAGGGCTCACAACAGAGCACCCACAGCCAGGAAGTAACACGCGGAGGTCCTACACCGACGCGTTGAAAACTCTGATGGTGCCTGAGGCAGAAAGTCATATTACAGCCCCCATTATCACAGCACGCACTGTCCCTATTGGAGGCACGAACACTGAGCGTACGGAGGCACGCAGACTCAAAAGGGAGAAGGATAGGATCGAGAAAACGGTTCTCATTATAGCCAATGGGGAAGCATTGCTTTCAACAGCAAACCCCTTTCTATTACGACTTAGAATCAAGGAAGCGGTCACTGGACTCACACTAGCAGAGATTCCCTTCCTTCAAAGGAATAACACAGGATGGACTCTACGGTGCAGCTCGAGTGCCTGCCGGGAGGAGATCATGAAAGCAGAAAACGTGGAGCGGATCCTTAAAACCCTCCATGCAACAAGCATGCGCAGGCTAGAGAGGTGGTTCATGTATGCAGTACCGCAAGTACCCTCACGACTTCTACCACATCGAAGGGGCTCCTGCTCCTATGCCTACTGAGCTTATCAAAGAGGAGATTATAGCTCAGACCAGCAAACAGCCGGTCAACTACCGACTGGCGCGTAGCGGGGTCAACCCGATCACTAAAAGAGCCACCTGGATCATCGGCTTCAACACTGCAGTACCGCGGTTCCGACTTTTCAATAGCAGTTCCTACTCGGTTCTCCTAGACAAACCCCGGGAAATCCGACTCCATAGCACAGGCTGCCAGGGGTACTGTAACCCCTTCACCTGCAACAGAGCCCTACGATGCTCGACCTGCGGTAAACCGAACATTGAGCACGAGGGTGCACCCGTACACCAACAATGCTCGAGAGCAGCTCAGTGCGCCAATTGCCACGGGCCCTTCCGCGCTGGCCACTCCAACTGCCCGGCTGCCCCTAGGGTCCACGCGAAGCAACGGATCATCCTGACTGCAAAGGAACTGACTGCAGTCAGAGCTATCGGCAGGAGGGATTACGAGACGCTGCACAAAGCGAACGCTGACGAGGCAAACCATACCTCTGAATCATCTTCACCCCCTAGAGCAACAACTGCAGAAACCCCGGTCACCCCGGGAGCGAGGATCACAGCTTATGAGAATGAACGCCTCAGCAAGCGCCCACGCAGGCTCAGCACTAGTCTGCCGATCGCACCAACCATATTACGCACTCGCCCAGCTCGCAGCCAAAGCCAACGGAATCTCAATATAGAATCCCTAGCAGAAAAAGCCTTCACTCCAATAGATCTGGAGATGAGTGATGCCGAGACCTCCATAACAGTAGACACTACATCTAGATCCTCTCTATGAGTAGCACAATCAACGAGCACACTCAGGAAAGCAAAGGCCTCACTATCGCTTGGGCGAATGTAGGCCGGGGACATGCGAACCATATTACATTATTACAACTAGCAGCTGAGGCTCAGTTGGATGTAATCTGTGTACAGGAGCCAAGACTATACTGGAACTCAATAACACAAAATCACGATGCATACGATCGATATCAGCCGATCGACAACTGGAGCCTCCGAGGAGACCTGGAGGAGAACGAGCAAGGCCCTAGGGTTATGACATACATACGAAAGGGCGCGCACCTGAAGGTGGAGCAAATGAGACGACTCGAAAACAGAGACCTACTCTGGATACGAGTCAATGGATACTCGATCCTGAACGTCTATAGAGCCCCGTGCACTCTGGACATTATCAATTACATCACGCACTTAATCCCAAATGAGCATACAATCGTAGGAGGGGACTTTAATGCAAAGCACGAGCTGTGGGAACCGGGGGTGACCCCAGCCAATCAAGGGGCGCAGCTCGCAACATGGGCAAACGAGCAGGGCATGGAGTTTATAGGCACTCCAGGCATACCCACTCACGCAAGAGGGCATGTGATAGACCTGACCTTCTCCAACATACCGTTCGCCTACACAGAGGTACTGGAAGAACTCCACTGCGGATCTGATCACGCTACTCAGGTCACCAGTCTGACGAGCCGTGGAACAACAGAGTGGGATCAGTCCCACTATCGGATAAAGGAGGCGGATCTGCCGAGATTGGATGGACTAATGGCCATCCAACTAGCTCATCTCAATAATTCAGATATCCAGACTACGACCGAGATCGAAACCCACGTCAGTGAGCTTGCGAATGCGCTAGATAGGGCGATCCGAGTTATCGGCAAGATCGATCGAAAAGCAGGGAAAGCCTCGCCATGGTGGACGGACGAGTGCAGAGAAGCTCATCGAGCACATATAGAGGCACGGAGGGGAACAGACCCGGAAAGGAAGACTAACGCTACACACCTTTTACAAAAGGTAGTGCGACAAGCCAAGAGATCCTATTGGGCAATGCGCCTAGACGGGGTCAAGGACGATAAAGAACTCTATCGGATCATGGGATGGCATAAGCTGACCCCCGAAAGCAATGCGAAATCCCCCCCTCTAATAATTGGTGAGCGGGAGATCT